TATCTTTGATCCTTTTTTTTTTTTTTGAGATAAGGTCTTACTATGTAGCCCAGACTGACCTTAAACTTGAAATTCTCCTACCTCGGCCTTCAGACTTCTGAGATTATAGGTATGGACCTCTATACCCAACTGTCCCAACTATTCTGTTTTTGTTGTTGTTGTTGTTGTTGTTGTTGTTTTCTTTGTTTTTTGAGACAATCTCCTGTATCCCAGGCTGAACTCAAGCTTACTCTGTGGCCAAAGATGATCTTGAACTTCCGGTCCTCCTGCCTCCACCTTCATAATGTTGGGAGTACAGGTGTGACCCAATGTACTGTGGTACTAGGTATCAAACCCAGGAACTTAACACACGCTAGGCAAGCATCCTACCAAGAGTCTCACGCTTTTCTTTCCATATCTAGTCACCATCCTGGTACAGATCATCACTTCAAGTGGCCACTTGACTAATGTTCTGCTACCTCAGCCCATTTCCAGTCATGACATGGCACACCAGGGTATTTAGGAAAGCCCAAATGTTGCACTATAAAGTGCCCTTATCATATCGTCTTCCTCCAGACTACTTTAGGCCACTCCATCCTGATCTCTTTGTTCTAGCCTCCCTGGTCTCTTCTATCTTGTCAAGCTCTTTCTCATGGCAGTTTCTTATTCCTTGTAGTCTAAATCTAAAACTTGCCCCACCATCCCATGGTCAGAATACTTGTTCTCCAGAGTATGGTGATATTTTGGGAGACTGTGGAACTCTTAGGAGATGGGGGCCTAACAAATGTAAATAGGTCACCAAAGTATGAGTTCCTTCCAAATCCCCTTTTTGGGAACATACACAAATTTAAGTTGAATTTCCACCATTTCCAATGGACTTAATTGGTGCGCAATAAAAATTGACAGATAGAATAAGCCTTTGAAGGTTAAAACCTGGCCTCTGCTTCCCTACTGCTTTCTGCCTCTTGGTCTACTTGTGATGCGAGAAGTCACCACCACAGGCTCTGGCTACCACAAACTCCACTATGCCTTTCCTGCTGTGATGGACTGAGAGCTTCTGAAATCATGAGCCAGAATAAATCCTTCCTCTGTCATGTTGTTTCTTTCATGTATGTGTCACAGCAGCGGATGTAAAAGTAACTAATATACTACAGCTGCTCCTCTGTCTATTCCTCTTCACGTATCGGCTCTGCTCCATCCTTTGGGGCTCAGTTTAAATATCACCCACTCAGAGAGAGCATTCCAGCCCACATGAATTTTTAAAATGCTCCCATCACTACTTTCTATTTCTGCTCCTTGCTTCAACATCATGCGCGATTATTTCAGCTGCTTGTTTACTTTGCTGGGTACCTCCTGTTAGAAATGAAAGCTCTCTAAAATATTTTATTTATTTATTTATTTATTTATTTATTTATTTATATTGCCTGCATGTATGTGAGTTTCTAACCTCAGTCGAGGTAACTGAAGTGAGAAGAAACTGTTTATCCTGGAAGCTCTGGATGAACCGAGTAGCATCTAATGGAATGAAAACATTCAGCCCTATTATGTGTATGCGTGTATTGCCTGCATGTAGGTAAGTGCACACATGTCATGCAATGCCCAAGGAGGACAGGAGAGGCTGTCGGATCCCCTGGAACGGGAGTTATGGACAGTTTTCAGCTGCCGTGTGGGTGCTGGGATTCGAACCTGGGTCTTCTGCAAGAACAGCCAGTGTTCTTAATCCCTAATCCATCTCTCCAGCCCATGAAAGCTCTCTAAAGACAGGGATGCTCTTTGTCCTGACATTAAGACCAAGCCTAGTGAATGACAATGAATAATTATCATTGTTTTTCTTGCATTCCTTCCTAGTCCCCCTTCTCTTTTTTCTGAAAGCAGGACACTTCCTTTATATGTGGGAACTCATTCCATATGGCTTGAAGGGGATGGCCCTGCCCCTATCCTGGGATAAAGGTGAGACCTCAGAAGAACCAATAGGTTTCCCCTCCATGAGATTTGCTGTATGGCTGCTGAAAAGAAGGCCCATGTTACCTAGCAACCATGAGCTATAAGAATGGATAGACTCGGTACTGACATCAACAGCTTTGCTACCCTGATGAGGTGAGCAGGAATCTGAGGATAAACCCATGCAGGGGTTAACAGGGCCAGGGGATGAGAGACAGTTCTTTCCCCCGAACTTGTACATGAGCCCCACCCATGCTCATTTCTCAGTATGGTGATTTTCCCCAAAACTCCCTTTTTTGGCACGTACACATTTGAGTTAAATTTCTACCATTTCATACTGAAAGTTCTGGCACTTAATTGATACTCAATAAATATTTACAAAGAGAATAAACAAAAAGGCCATTTCATTCTTGGTGACCTGCCTGAAACAGGGTTTCTAACCCTGGAAGGCTAGAAACACCAGGTTTTACTAAGCTCTCAAGACAATGAATGCCACTTCATGAGGCCTTTTGGGAAAACTATCAGTCAGGCAGCTTCTTTGATAATATACCTATGTGACTGAGTGACCTCTCCATTAGCATGTGTCTGCATCACCAGCTGAGAGCATCCTCAGCACCACATCCCTGTTTTATTTAACCCCAGCATCAAACAGTAAGTCATGTCAGAGCTCAGTAGCTGTTCCATGAAGGAAAACCCCAGCCACAGAACTTGTTAACCAAAAGGCAGAATCTTAGATCAGAATGTGATAAAACCCCCAAACTGCTTTCACCTTGGATAAGGCGTCTAAGAGTTTGTGTACATTTTAAGAAAGAGAACTCAGAGTTTAGGGCTGGAAGCAGTCTGTACCTGGAACAATCCTTTCAAAAGGAGAAGACCAGGATGATTAAGGAATGTTTCCAGGGATCCATTTGTGGAGGTTCTTGGGGTAGAAAGTGTTTCAGACAAACCTGAATCAGAGTGTGATCTAATTTACATAGACTAGACAGAAGACAGTGTGACATTTAGAAATCTGAATGACACTTGTGATAGGACACTGCTATGCATGATTACAAAGGCTTGACCATGAGAAAGGCACTCCCTGTCACTTCTCAGAGGAAAAGGCCATCATCTTGCACACATGTGCCTAAGTTAAATCATGTTTCATTGTAATTTAAACTTGACAGAGATAACTATGTACAATACTGAGAGAGGCTATCAGCTTCAACATATTTGGTTTTTATTTTGCCACAGATTCCAAATTTTCTTTCCTTTTTAAAAATATTTTATTATTTTTATTTTATGTGTATGAGTGTATTGCCTGCATGTATGTAAATGCACCTGTGTTGTGAAATGCCACAGAGGTCAGAAGAGGGCTTCGGATTCCCCTGGAACTGGAGTTAAGGACGGTTTATAGCCACCATGTGGGTGCTGGGAATCGAACCTGGGTCCTCTGCAAGAGCAGTCAGTGCTCTTAACCACTGAGCCATCTCTCCAGTCCCAGATTCCAAATTTAAAAGGACAAACTTACAGGACAAATCCTCTTTCCAAATATATTAGTAAGTCAAAGCAAAGCATTACAGTTACAAGTTGGATTTATTAGTGTCTGTAAGTAAATATAGCTATTGTTCTTATAAAACACTTCTAAGGTCTGGTATGGTGGTGCATGCCTTTAATTCTAACACTCAGGAGGCAGAGGCAGGAGGATCTCTATCAGTTCAAGGCTAGCTTAGTCTACATATCGAGTTCTAGGCCAGCCCTGGCTCCATAGTAAGACCCTAACTCAACCCAGATCTTCTACAAGAGCAGCCAGTGCTCTTAACCTCTGAGCCATCTCTCCAGTCCCTCAAAAAAAAAAAAAAAAAAGAAAGAAAGAAATTAGTGAAGAAAGTCTACCTAATGTAAAAGAAATATATTTTAAAAATTTAAAAACAAGTCTCTACCATGCTTCTCATGGTGTAACAAGCTGGCATCAGACAAGCCTTTGCTTGCTCTCTCTCTGAGCGTGGCTAATTGCTGTATGTGGGCTTAAAAGTGTTCATTTTCGGGCTGGAGAGATGGCTCAGTGGTTAAGAACACTGCTCTTGCAGAAGGCCCGGGTTCGAATCCCAGCACCCACATGCCAACTAACAACTGTCTGTAACTCCAGTTCCAGGGGATCCGACAGACTCTTCTGTCCTCTGCAGGCATTGCAGGACACAGGAGCACTTACCTACATGCAGGGAATACATGCATATACACAAGATAAAAAAAAAATAGATTTTAAAAAGTATTCATTTTCCTTATTGTAACTTTCTGTCTTGTTACAGAAAGTTCTGTCTTGTTAAGTGGATCCACTTAAAGGAAAGACATCTGAATGCAATGTCATTGGAAAAACAGATATGGGGTACTGGGGAGATAGCTCAGTGGGTAAGGTGATTGTCATCATGAGGATGTGAGTCTGCTCCTCAGAAACCACAAACAAACAAAAACCCAAATCAAAAAACGAAAAGCAAGATGGACGGCTCCTGAGAAATGAGACAGAGATCATCCTCTGGTCACATGTATGCACACACATGAACATGCACACCATACGTACACACAAAAAGGAAAGGAAAAGCCACATGTGGAATGAAGGCTTACCAATACTCACTTTACCTCTAATTAAAAACCCTGATCCTCCCACCAAAAAAAATTAAGTTTAAAAAAATAAATTAATTAATTAATTAAATTAAAGGCCAGGCATGGTGGCGCATGCCTATAGTCCCAGCACTTGGGAGGCAGAGGCAGGTGGGTCTCTGTGAGTTCAAGGCCAGCCTGGTCTGCATAGTGAGTTCACAAATTAAATTAAATTTAAAACCCGGATCCAGGTGTTTAGGTATAGTACAGTAGGGGAGGTCATGTTTACCATGTGTGAGGCTGTGGGTTCAACTCTCCACACCAAAAACATAAAATGAAAAATCCTAATTCCTCACAAACAATAATTTTACTAATCCTTTACAGTTAAAAATCTAAAGAAATAAATCTTAGTAAATTAGGGTTCTCTTTGTATATATGCTTTGCATTGAGAGAATAGGACGTGACTTGTTTTTTTTTTTTATTTGAAAGTGGGAACCTTTGGCTAAGCTTGCCACTCAGCACTGCCTGGTTGATGGTCTGATGGTGAGCTGTGCCGGGGCCAGGCTGCTACTACACATTTGCAGCCAAATGGGCAATCAGGTCTTTGGCATCTTGCATGATGGAAGGTATCTCTGAACCGTTCTCAGTCACCTGGGTTCCAAATAAGAACAGCTTCCTGTTGTTCCCCACTTCAGACAATGCCAAAGCGTCATGGATATCTGTAATGCGATAGGCTGCTTCAAGATCCTTCACCCACAATGGAGAAAGAATAGAAAAAGTTGGTTAGTTCACAATTCTTTGGGTTACAAACAGTTATCTACGGCTGTGGTGATACCACCATTTAAATGCAGAGGGCATTGTGACCTTGTTATGATCTCAATGTTGACATGATTATAAACATTTTTTTTCAAATATTTTATTATTTTCATTTTATGTGTATGCGTATATTGCCTGCATGTAGGTGAGTGCGCCCGTGTCATGCAATGCCTGTGGAGGTCAGAAGAGGCTGTCGGATCCCCTGGGACTGGAGTTACGGACAGTTGTTAGCTGCCATGTGGGTGCTGGGATTTGAACCTGGGTCCTTTGCAAGAACAACCAGTGTTCTTAACCACTGAGCCATCTCTCCAGCCCCGATTATAAACATTTTAATCAGAATTATGCCAGTATTTCTGACTTCTCAAAAAAATCATTTTCTGCCAATATAAAACCTTAATTTTCTAAACAGTGCCATCTTATTTTCCCAAGATTATTTCTAATAAGATTCATTATTATGGGTTTATATTTTCAACAGAAATTTGATTTGCCACTTTTTATTTGGTTCTTTTGGTTTGGTTTGGTTTGCTATTATTTTGAGACAGGGTCTCCCTGTAGCCCCAGCTGGCCTAGAATTCCCTGTGTTGACCAGGTTGGCTTCAATCTCACAGAGATCCACCTGCCTCTACCTCCTGAGTGCTGGGATTAAAGGCGTGCATCACCACACCCAGCTTTGCTTAGTATTTTTAAACATACTGTTTTTTATTAATTCTTTGAGAATGTCATACATGCATACAATGTATTTTGATCATATTCACCCCCAGTCTTCCCCCAGTTCCTCCCAGGTTCACCTCTGTTTTACCCCACCTTTCACCTTCATGTCCTTTTTTTCCTTAGTAAACCACTGAGTCCAATTTGTGCTGCCCATATATACATAGGTGTGGGCTCATTAACTGGAGCATGGTCAGTTTACCAGGGGCCATACCCTTAAAGAAAGCTGTCTCCACCAGCAGTCATCAACAGACAATATCTCCTCGACTAGAGGTAGGGGCCCATAAGTCCTTCCTTCATCCATGGTGGGATGTTGACTGGCTTGATCTTGCACAGGTCTTGTGCAGGCAACCATAACTGCTGTGGTTTCATGAATCTAGCAGTCCTGTCATGTTCAGAAGACACTGTTTCTCTCTGGTCCTCACTGACCTCTGGCTGTTATAAATTTTCCATTTCTTCTTCTGCAATGTTCCCTGGGCCTTAATGGGAGGGGGCAGTTTTTTCAGGGTCTTACTATGAAACTCAAACTAGCTTTGAATGTTTGATCCTCCTGCCTCGGTCTCCCAAGTATTGGGATTACAGGTGTATGCCACCACACGTTACTTATCAATCGCTTTTTGTTCATATCATATTTTACTGATTGTAGCACTTGCCACTGTGAGTTCTCTGCTGTAATCATTATTTTGAACAAAAATTTTGGTTCAAACTGGGAGGGGGTAGGCGGGGAGGCACAAACTTGTAATCTTAGCACTTAGCACTGGGAACCTGTGAGGCTTTTCTTGACAGGCTGCACATGGTGTTGGTAGTTACTGTAGATTACCTATTTAAAACCTGTACTCATTTATTCATAGAGCCTATAGTAACTTCTGTAACAGAGCTAATGAATCCAATAGTGTATTGATGGTATCTCAGGTTAATCAGTTTCTTGATGGAATTGGAGAGGATAAAATAGGGGTGAGAAGGTGTGGGGAGGAGGACAGGCTCCTTGCAATAATACAGCATATCAGGCATAAGTTAGGGCTTATACCACATTTAAATCACTGTGACTTAATAGAGGTCATAACCCAAATAATAAAAATAGTAAAATGACCTTTTTATATTGGGTCTGTATCTATCTAGCCCAGGCTGGGCTTGAACTTGCAAACCTCCTGCCTCTGCCTCCCCAGTGGTGGAATTATAGGCATGAGCCACCATGCCCAACTAAGATAACTTTTTGATGAAAACCCTTATATAACAACTTGAGCCAATGAATCATCTAAAAGAATAGATTATTTTTGACCAAAGACTATAAACAATGATACATGAAACAAGAATAGCTGGACCTTTTATCATTAAGGCCCAGCAGAATTTTCAGTTTGACAATGAATGGCTCTGTTTATTCAATTTGATGAAGACAAAACACATAAACCATACAAGAAAGCATGGATTGGATAAATTTGACAATTAAAAATGGAGCAATGGCACAGCAGTTAAGTATACTGGCTGCTCTTGCAGAGGAGCCAGGTTCAATTCCCAGTATCCACATGGCAGCCAACAGCTGCCTGTAATTCCAGTTTCAGGGGAATCCAACACCCTCTTCTGACTTCCACAGGCATTGCATGGCATGGGTGCACTTACACAAATGCAGGCAATACACTCATACACAAAAAAATAAAATTAAAAATAAAATATTAAAAATGTAAATCTTCAATATAAAAATGGAAACCATAAACAAAGTAAAATAATATGTCACAGAGATGTTGGAGAAGATGTTAGTGAGGCATGTGACCAACAGAGGAATTTTTTTCCAAAAGGTATGAAATACTCCTGTGACTCAAGCGAGGAAAGGCAGAGGCTGGAGGCACATCTTAGCTGTAAACAGTTTGCTCAGTATTCATGAGACCTTGGGTTTGATCTCCAGCACCACGACCACCAAAAAAGGAAGCATCCTAGTGGGACTCTGGGGAAAGATAATAGGAAATAGGAAATTCATAGACATAGAGCTGAAAAACTAATAGACATCTGGAAAGGTGTTTAAACTCACTAGTAATTGAGGAAATATAAGAATACTGATAAAACTTCTCCCTCCTCACACTGGCAAAGATGAAAATGACAATAGCAAGCACTGATGGATGTGGAGTTGCAAGAACTGCCCCTTTAGCTGCCGGTGGGGGAATGAATTAGTGCAACTTTGGAAAGCAATTTGGTAATATCTAGTAAAATTGACTATAAGCAACTTCGAAAATCCAGCATGTCTTCTTCTAGGTGTATGCATTGAGCCATGCATGCACATGGACAAAGGCACACATATTTGGAAGTTCACAGCAACAGATTTTGACAACAAACAGTTGGGAATCATGAAAATAGCCAGCAACAGGAAGATGGCAAGACTTCACCAAGTTCATCAAAATGCTATACAGTTCATATGTATGGACATAAGATTCTAAATCTTCATAGTCCATACCCCTCTTACTGGGGATTGAACTCAGGACCTCTTATATGCTGAGCATACTCTCTATCAGGGAGTTACATTTCAGGCCCTAAGTCTTTGTGGTTTTAAGATGAGCCACTTAGCAACAAAAACAGAAATCAAAGCATTGGCCTTTTTTAAAAATGTCAACAGAATGCCAAAATATGCTGGACCAGCTTCTACTCTGCATATCAACCTACGTTCCTGCTAAAGTAGGACATCATCATTTGTAGTGGGCATCCACCACTAGAAGCCACAAGGGAAAAGACAAGAATTGAGCTCTTTTGTGATTGGCAAACCTGGCAATTGAAAGAGGAGTTTTAATGTTACAACGTTTTGGAAATTTTTGAAATTTATTTTTATAAAAATTTTGTTTTATAGTACACATAACAGAATTTACCATTTTTAGTACTTAAATACATTCTTACTGGTATGAAACCATACTGCCATCTGTCTCCTAGACTCTTCATCTTGCCAAATTGAAGCTCACTACCTACTTAGAGATCATTTCACTTTCCTTCCTCCTATAGCCCTTGATAGCTACTGTTCCATTTTGTTTCTCTGTGGATGTGACCACTCTTGGAAGTTCTGTGAGCAGAATTATACAATATCTGTTCTTTTGAGGGTAGCTTATTTCATTTAGGATAGTATCCTCTAGGTCCATCTATGTAGTTACATGCAGTAGAACCTCCTTCCCTCTGAGGGCTAAGCCATGTTATCCTGTATGGACATACCACATTCTGTTATGCATTCATCAGCAGATAGACACTTGGTTACCGCTACCTTTTGGACAATTGTAAATAATGCTGCTATGAACGTAAGTGTATAAAAACAGATTTGGGTCCCTGATTCATTTCTTTTGCAGTTCCCAGAAGTGGAATTGCTACACCAAATGGGAACTCAATTTAGGATGTTTTTTGAAGAACAATGATATTGCTTTCTATAGCAGCTATGCCATTTCACATTCCCACTAACAGGGCACAAAGGTTACAGTTTTCTTATGAATGTTTATTATTATTATTTTAAAATACATTATTTATTATTATAAATTTTTTTGTATTTTTGAGACAGGGTCTCCCTGTAGCTCCAGCTGGCCTGGAACTCGCTATGTAGATCAGGCTGGCCTCAAACTCACAGAGATCCACCTGCCTCTGCCTCCCAAGTGCTGGGATTAAAAGTGTGTGCCACCACACCCAACTCTTTTTATTTTTATTTTATGTATATGAGTGTTTTGCCTGTACATATATCGTGCAGTGCTTAAGGAGGTCAGAAGAAGGTGTCAGATCCCGTGGAACTGGAGCTACGATGGTTGTTAGCTGCCATGTGATGCTGGGAACTGAACCCAAGTCCTCTGCAAGAGAAGCCAGTGCTCTTAACCACTGAGCTATCTCTCCAGCCCTGGATGTTTATTATTTTAATGCATGCATGAAATAAATTCAGGTCAAGTGTAATTGAGCTAAAACAAAACTCTCTTTATACATGGACGCTTCCCAAATATTGCATTGAACTCAATCCAGCAATCAATATTTGTTTGTGGAAATAAGGTCAACACACACAGTTCAATTCCTACCATTTTTACCCCATGGCAACAGACTAGGTAATTCAAGTACTTTAAAGGACACAAGATGAATCATTGTATTTTTTTTTTTTTTTGGTCTTTTTGAGACAGGGTCTCCCTGTAGCCCCAGCTGTCCTTGAACTCACTGTATAGACCAGGCTGGCCTTGATTCAGAGATCTGCCTGACTCTGCCTCCCGAGTGCTGGGATTAAAGGCATGCGCCACCACACCCGGCAAATCATTGTCTTTGTAATGAAAGTTTATAATCCAGGAGATCTAATAAAGAGAATATTGTTGAATATCAAGCTACTAAAAGCAGGTATTTCTTCATTAATAATAAAACTATTGAGTACAAGTTACATTTGCATAATTTTTTAGGGGATCCTGAAAACTAGGCAAGGTGCTCTACTATGAAACCGCAAGATCACCCTGTATTTGCACAAATTTTTTTTTTTACCTGTTTGTTTGCAAACACAATCAGAGGGAGGACTGGGTTTGGTTCAATTAGCTGATGAAGGCATTTCTTGGCTTCAGGTAATCGGTTGTGATCAGCTGAATCCACCACAAAGACCAGCAGCCATACTTTAGACAGGTATATCTCCCAGTAAGAGCGGAAAGGCTCACTGCCACCAACTAAAAACGGAATAGGAAGAAGTCACCAAAAACTCATAAGTGTGTCAACTGAGGAGGCACACAGGACACACTGGCCGGGTGCTCTGATTAAATACCACTGAGTTAGAGTAGAGGCAATTCTGAGTGGCTACAGGGACATTACTGGGGGGAAGAGTCGGTCAGTGGGAATAACTGCCCCTTGGAAGTGGATCATTAATTCTGGAAATCACAAAGGGTCAATGTAGAAAGCCAGGCAAGGCAGTACATGCCTGTGATCCCAGCACTCAGGAGCCTGAGGCAGGAGAATTGCTTTGAGTCTGAGGCCTGCCTGGGTTATATGCCAAGACTGTGTTTTAAACAAAGATTTTTAAAAAAAAAAAAAAAAAGCAAGAAGTGTCAGTGTGGAGATTCTAAATGCTACAGTGATGTCTCCCAACCCTTTAGACACAGCAGACCTGTCATCAATTGCATGTTCATTCATCATAGCTCAGAAAATGGAAGTAGGCCACTAATTAATGATGGTAGGTTAAAACTCATAATACTCTAAAATAATTTTTAAGATTTGTTTTTACTAGGGCTGGAGAGATGGCTCAGTGGTTAAGTCCAGTTGCAGAGGACTGGGGTTCATTTCCCAACACCCACATAGCAGCTCACAACTGTCTATAACCCCATTTTCAGGGGACCCAATGCCTTCTGGTCTCCTTGGGCATTGCCTACATGTGGTGTACACACATGCAGGCAAAATACTAATACTCATTTAAAAAATAAGATTTTTATGTTTATTTATGTGTGTCTGTGTGAATGTGCATTGTGTGTGTGTGTGTGTGTGTGTGTGTGTGTGTGTGCGTGTCCTCATAGGCTGGTAGACAGTGTTGTATTCCTTGGAGCTGGAGTTGTGAGCTGCCTGACCTATATGCTAGGAACATCACACTCAAATTTAGATTCCAGTACCCACCAATAATGTCATTAGAACACAGATATGTATTGGTTACCTAATGTCTGTGACTGCTTTACAGACAATGGCACAGTTTAGTGGCTGTGACAAGAGACTATATGGGATCCATGAAGTCTACATTATTAACTACATAGCCCTTGATAGAAGTTTTCAAGCTTCTGTTACAGGAACTTAACAAAACCAGTTTAAACACGAATGGGAATATTGGACTTATCATCTTAATCAGTGATAGGCTCATTTTTCATAACATCATTTATTTGTGCAGTCCAGTTTCTCTTGTTATATTTCACCAGAAGTTTGTCTATTTTTGTTGATTTTTTCAAGATACTGACTGACTTTTGGCTTTGCTGACCTTTGCTATTGCATCTTTGTGATCAGTTTCATTGTTTTCTCTTTAGCTCTTTCTCCCCTTTTTGATTTTATTCTGATAGTTTTGATCAGATTTCTGATATTATTTGTTTGTGGCAGTTTTGAAACTGAGTATCTCAGTGTAGTCCAGGCTAGCTTCTAGATCATGATTCTCCTGCCTCAGCCTCCTGAGTGCTGGGATTACAGACCTGAGCTACCACATCTGGCTGTCATTTTTATTTTTAACAATGACTCAGTTCTCAGTATTTTTAACTTTCTAGAATGATTTTATCTTTGAGCCAAGAGTTATCTAGACATGGATAAATCCACCATTGAAAGGTTTTAAATTATCAAATGATTTGCTTAAATATTTGTGTTAAAATACTGTTCTTTGTGAAGTCATAGAAACAAATATAAAAGTGCCTGCAGCAATCTATCTAATCAAGAGATGACCGTTTCTGAGTCACATGGGGCAGTGGAAAAGGATGCTTTGGAGATGGAAAATCTCAGTGTTTTCCTGTAGACTGATTTCAGGGATAAAGACAGTGAAGGGTGACTCCCAGGTTTCTGTCTTGAGAACTCAATGGAAGAGGAGTTATTTACTGACCAGTGGGTTATAGAGAAAGGAACAGAGGATAAACCAAGCTTGTTTTGTTTTATGACAACAGTTAAGTCTCAGAGACCAATTAGGCATTCAAGTAGAGATGGTAGAAGACATCCGGACATGCTTGGGCTGTTTAGAGAAACCTGGGAGTCATTAGCATAGAGATGGTATTTAGGGCCAGGAGGGCAGGTGAAGCCATCCAGGGGGCCAGCATAAAGATAGGAGGCCTGACCCGACTTTGGAAATAGGTATGTTTAATGAGGTGGGGACAATACTGCTGCACAGGAGGGGCTTTGGGACTACCAGCTAGCTAAAACAGGAGGTTTGGGGCTTGCCTCTAATTTCATTGCCGAGAAGAGAAGCACACTGTAGTTACTGAGATTGCTGTTTATCTTTAGTAATGTGGAAAGAGGAAGGATGATTACAGGAGATCACAAGAGGCATACCAAAGGCATCCTATCCTTTAAACAACACTTTGTCACCAGCTTTGCAAAAAAAGGTAAAAATAAAAAAAGCAGAAAGCAGCCAGGCATGGTGGCACACCTTTAATCCCAGCACTCAGGAGGCAGAGGCAGGCAGATCTCTGTGAGTTCAAGGCCAGCCTGGTCTACATAGTGAGTTCCAGGACAGCTGGGGCTACAGGAAGACCCTGTCTCAAAAAGACAAAAAAAAAAAAAAAAAAAAAAAAAAAAAAAAGCGGAAAGCAATCCCCGTCCCCCAGTGCACCTTAGTATTAAACTACGCATGCACTCTACAAGTATACAAACTCCAACCCAGCAGTGTTCCTGCTCACAAGATTCCAATGTCAATAATGCCATGTCTGGCTTAAGATTTGATGAAATGAGGCTCTTCTGAACCGGTGAGACATAGAGCTTACTCTCCAAGAACTCCATCTGCCTGTCTTCAGCATTGATGCAAACTGCATTGAAACCTTGGGTTGGCTCCACACTGTGCTGTACTCTGTTGGAAGCCAGAGAGTAGAGGACACTGGTTTTTCCTGCTCCATCCAGGCCCAGTACTAGGATCTGCTTATTTTTCTCCTGTGAAGTAAAACATAAACCAATAAACCCATGCTATTATAACCTTGCTGTGCTGGCTCCTGACAGTGTGCTTCTTGCTTGCCTGTGTTAGGAGACCAGGCTGGCCTTCTAACTTCAAGATAGGCTTACCTCTGCCTCCTGAGTGCTAGGATTAAAGGCATTCATCACCACACCTGGCCCAAAAAACTGACCTTAAAAAATTGTTTATTTTGATTTTATGTGTATGAGTGTTTTGCCTGCATGTATGTAAGTGCGCCTATGTCATGGCTGTGGAGGAGAGAAGAGGGTGACAGATCCCCTGGAACTGGAGTTGTTAGCTGCTATGTGGGTGCTCGGAACTGAACTCAGATCCCCTCCAAGAGCAGCCAGTGCTTTAACCACTGAACCATCTTAAATAATATTAGAATCTCCAGCCCACCTTTTTGTTTGTTTGCTTTCTTGAGCAGTCTCTGGCCTTGAATTCCTGATCCTCATGCTTTAACTTCCCTTGTGCTGGGATTAAAGCACTCCCATGTTTTCTTTTCTTTTTCTTTTTTTTTAAAGCCTGGCATGGTGGTGCATGCCTTTAGTCCCAGCTCTTGGGAGGCAGAGACAGGTGGATCTCTGTGAGTTTAAGGCCAGCCTAGTCTACATAGTGAGTTCCAGGCCAGCTGGGGTTATAGGGAGACGCTGTCTCAAAAAGACCAAAACAAAAACCAAAAAAAACCAAAACAAACAAACAAAAAAAACCCTTTTACGTGTGTGTGTGTGTGTGTGTGTGTGTGTGTGTGTGTGTTATAGGCCAGAGATTGACACTCAGCTTTTATGGGGTACTGGGGGTCCAAATTTAGGTCCCCATGCTTGAGAAACAAGCACTTTACACCCTGAGCCATCTCCCTAGCCCTAAGGAAATGGTATTTTCATGGGCTGTCTCTTATTTCAGTCCTTAGCTCCCTTCCCATTCTAAGTGCTATAATGCCATTCTGGAAATGAGCTATGGTAAGGAAGAGAGACTTGAGGTACAGACATTGAAAGTTTTAAAACTGCACACTTTAAAGTAATAGTGGCACCAAGAGATAGCTGCAGTATGAATTATATCTCCCTGTAATCTCCACTGCCCTACTCAGGTGACCCTTGCACACTTCATTCATACTAAGATGCTCACACCCCTCCTACCCCCTGAATCAGGATACATTTTACACTGGATAGTCGTATTTTGATAGGCAGTTTTCTTTTCTTTTTTTAAAAAAATTATTTCTTATGTGTATGAATGTATAAGTGCACCTGTGTTGAGCAGTGTCTGAAAAGGTCAGAAGAGGGTGTGGGATCCCCAGAAACTGGAGTTACAGACAGTTGTTAGCTATCAGGTGGGTACTGGGAATCGAAACCAGGTCCTCTGCAAGAGCAGTCAGTGCTCCTTACTGGTGAGCCATCTCTCCAGTCCCAGCAGTTTTTCTTGGTGATTCTGAAAATAACGACATCCTAGATCTTATGAAATAGTATGTTTAAAACTGTCCTCTCGGCTCCTGGGGGACAAGCTGTTGTCCCCAGATCCACTTACCCTACCCAGAAACTCTGCACTGCCTCATGGCTTACAGTTTGCTCCTGTCTTTGGTCTACTGTACAGACTTTTGGCTGGGGGTTGGGGAGGGTGGTGTTGCTCAGTGGTACAGTCCTGGGGTCCAACCAGCTCTAAAAGCAAAACCAAACGAACCAGAGATTCTTCCCGTTTGAAGAAAGCTGAAATCACTTTAAATCAAGAGCTCAGATACAAATCTAATCCTCCCCAGGGAAGAGAGTAAGCGAAGACTCCTACCATGTATTATGCTGTCACGTGTCTGTTTAGGGACGGGGGGGCGGGGGGAGTCAGATAAGCCTTGCCGGGAGAAAGTCACCTTCCAGATAGATCACAGACATTCCCCAGCAGGGCACCAAATTTAATTCTTAGCATCATTGTTCTTTGTTAATGGTTCCTTTAGTCATTTGTGGATCTGTGTAGTATGTATTTCACCAGAGATCAAATCCCCACTAATAATTCAGATTGTTAATAACTCAGAAAGCCGCTCAGCCCAGAATCCCGTCTAGGAACTGTAGGAACGCCAAGTCCATTAAGTCTACAAAAACAATTCATGGGATACTGAGGCTCGTCGTTTGAGTTGGCGCTGGTGATCGGAACGCCATGCAAACTAAGCGTTCACGAGGAAGGACCAGAGAGCCCTCCCCCAAGGACTTCATATATTCATCACAAGTTCACTGGGAAGCGTTTGGGGGCCGGGGTCGAGGTTCCGGCTGGTTTCAGCCTGGGCGGGTAGGTCGGTGCGCTGGCGGTAAGGGCCGCACCTAGGTAGAACGGAGCCACTCCCTGCATCCAATTAAGATTAGATCTCCTTGCGACAGGCGTGGTGGCGCAGGCCTGCAGTCCCAGCACTTGGGAGGCAATCTCTGTGACTTCAAGGCCAGCCTGGTCTACATAGTGAGTTCCAGGACAGCTAGGGCTACAGGGAGACCCTGCTTCAAAAAGACCAAAAAAAAAAAAAAAAAAGAGAGAGAGATTAGATCTCTGGCCCCTGATCTAGAGCCCAGGATTACAAGGGGGTAGGACGCCGACATGTGGGACCGGGTGAACCTAGGGAAAGTTCGAACCTTGGCGCATGCCCCCGGCAGAAGCCACCCCCCGGGCCGGACCTCCAACGTAACAGAGCGGGCGCGGCTCTGAGTGCCTTCAATGGCCTAGGGGCCAGGGCCCGGGATCCGGACTCTCACCGGCGGCGGGGACAGGGTCCTTATCAAGGCGCTGCTGCTGTTGCTGCTCTCCTGGACTTGTTCTTCAGTGTGTTCCTTCTCCTTCCCGTTCTCCTCGCTTTTCACCTCCACACTCTTCCTTCTCTCCCCTTTCTCTTTCCAGTTCTCCCTGCTTTTCATTTCTGCGACTTTCTTTTTCTCGTCCTCCTCTTTCCCGTTCCTGTTTTTCACTTCTCCAGCCTTCCTTTTCTCCTCTTTCCCTTTCCCTCTCCAGTTCTTGCTTTTCATCTCCACATCCTTCCTTTGCTCCTTCTCTACCAGTACCTTTTCCCTACTTCTCTCCTTCTCTGTCAACTGTCCCCTGTCCTTCACCTTCCCCCTCTCCATCCCCACCGCCGCGGTTTCCTTCCTTCCCCCCCGCGCGCCGCAGCCGCGACCCTGGGTCCCAGCAGGTGTGGTTCCCGCCGGGGCTCAGGGCGGAGATGTAGGTTCTCGCGCCTCAGCCACACCCGGGGTCACCGCCCGCCGCCGTGCATTTCATACCGGCCTAGGCTGCAACTGATTCATCGGACTTGGGGGCCAGGAAGAAGAGTAGTGGAAGGGGGAGGTGGGGGGATGCCGGGGGCTGGATGGAGCCCAGTCTAGGGGAACCTGGAGAACCTCAACCTAGAGGTGGGAGAGCTGGGCCACACCGACCGTCCTGGTAAGTGTCCTTTGGAACCTCTCACCTGGGAGGGCACACAGGTGCGATTTGGTGGTGTAGGAGAAACGCCTTCCCAGCGAACTAAGAGTTTTGACTCTCTGGCCTCAACCCCAATTTTGCAGGGCCAGCACTTCTCTAACCTGAGAACACCTTGGGCACCAGAATCTTGTATGTCCCCCTAGGACTACCCACCGCGCCCCCAGCTCACCACCACCAGCCAGAAAACCGGGCATCTCCATCCTGTATACACGCCCCTGGGCGTGGCCAAAGGGCTTATTCAGGACTGTCAGTTAATATCAAAAACAAAAGTAAGCAAAAGTTTGGTCACCTTTCACGATCAGTATATAGTAAATTAAGCACCCAAAGTGAGGGGGTTCATTTCCTACTTGGACTCAGTATATTTCACAATTTAACAAAATTAGTTTTTAGGGATGAAGGTGTAGGTCAGGGATGAAGTGCTTGCTAAGACTTTGGGTTCGGTCTCAGCAAGATGGTTGGCTGCCCCATGCCTGTAATCTTAGCACTTTGGGAGGCTGAGATGCCAGGTGAGTCCAGTGAGTTCCAGTTTCAGTCTAGCCTGGGCTGGAGTGAGATCCTTTTTTTCTCCCTCCACACCACACAATGAAAAAATTAGTTTTTACATGAAATAAATTAACTTTCATTTATCAGATGTTTCAAACGGCTGGCAAGTTCCAGAACGCTTGAGTGATGGAACAGGTTTTAAGGTAAGCTATTTTCAGTTGCCTTGAAAATGCTATCCTTAACTGTGCTCAAGGTTTGCTTTTGTTTGCTGATGCACAAACCAACGGGATGAATTTTCATTTTTTAACTGGGTTCTCCCAATCCCATTATATTTGTGGTTTTGCTGGGAAGAGCAGTACACAACTTTAGATATTTGGCTTAAAAGAAAATTCTTAAAGTTGATATAGGTGATATTTAGACTTATTTAACAACTTAAACTGAGGTCTCCGTGGCTTAGCGATGACAGTTCCAATGGCTGTGCATAATGAGGACTAAGGATACTATGTCTTTCACTGCTTGTGTCTTGATCAAGTTTCAAAGATCAGTACATCCCACCAAGATTCTGTTGCTTGGTTAACCTAAAGAATGATTAACCACTGGAAATGTAATGGAATCCTAAATAACAAATTTACAATTACTCCTGTGATGGGGAATTCAGTCTCATCAAAATACTTTTCTCTATAGAACTCAAAAAAGTACTATGCGATAATATTATTTGTAGTTTAGATGCCTCTGCAGATTCCGATTATGCTACATAGAAAGGCAGCACTCCATTTTTTAATCTTGCAAAACAGGAAAGCCTTTTTAAAAACTCGCTGAAGAAGTTTCAGGAGATAATGCTCAAACACAGCAACACTTTTATTAACAAGGACAGAGTAATCTGAACACAAGGAAATGTAAGTCTAAAATAAATGATATCCTGGATAGCATATGTGAATACTAAACATGGACAGCCACCAATGTGTGTTACAACTGTTGAATGGGAAAGTGGCTTGTCATCAAGGAAAGACAGGAGCAACAACAATTATACCACAAACCAACATCAAAATATATTACTTTGAGAGAGGAAATGAAACTTTGTATTGAATGACTAAAAACGGGAGCCATCTGAGTATCTATTAATTGGGCCAAATGCTCTTGTTAGATTTTAATACTGCCTGATAGTATTTCCTCTGAAAATGAAGAAGTCAAAGTTTATGTTCTTGATATGGGCTTTCTGATTAAGAAGTCCAAACCCATTTGCCCTCGGAACACTGAGTCTGAGTCAACTACTTGGAACATTGATATATTTTCTTGAGGGCTCCAATGGCGCTAAATCAGCATGCTAACATAATCTGTAAATAAAAATGACAAGGGGTACAAAGAAGTCAGATACAAGTATACATATACACATAAATGAAAAGTATCCCAATTCCAGTATCACATGATAAAGAATTTGTAGTTAGAATTATTTTAGACACTGAGTCTTTGTGGCTACTCATTTAATTAAGAACACTAGTGTTTTACTAAGATCCCTTTTCATCACATGATAGTTCTAAACAAATACTTGGAATGCTCAGAAGATTCCACTTTTAGCCTCCTAAGACATAATTTAAGTTGAGACTTCAATTAGGACAAGTATCTTCAGACTCGAAACAGTAGAAATACTTTCTGTTTAAATACCAGGAAACCTTTGACAACCTGTCTTATATCTGAAATGGAAAAAAAAGATCCACATATAAAGGATGCAACAGACATCAAGGCAGGTAAACAATCATCTTCTGTCTTCACACTCTGAGCAAAGCTATTTGGTACAAGTAGGCCAAATCTGATTAGGTAGTTTGAGAAGATATCTTCCTATTGGAAGTATAAGAAATTATTTCATGACAATATGGGATGGAAGAGGGAGTGCTGTGCTTCTTGCTGTGTTACCTTTATTATGCTCCTAATGTCACTGACATGGATTAAAAACAGCCTGCAACAAGAACATTCTAATCACCAGCCACTTTTGCCTCCTTTCTTCTTTTTCTGTTGCTGTTTCTTTTTTGTGGCTGGAGCCCCTGCAGGTTTCTGGTGTCGTGGGGGTATGATGTTACTTGTAGAGGCAGATATTGTTGTTGCACTGCCAGGTCTTGGGGAGGTGGGCGGACTGCTCACAGTTTTACTGGCATCCCTGGAATCATCAGACCAGAAAGATTTTAGTCATTTGGAACTTTAACATAGGAAAAGGTTAAGCACATAGGTGCCTGGATTTCACCTTTCACAAGTAATAATTTCCCACACATTTTCTAATTTTTCAGGATGGGTGCTCTAACTCCCTATGCATTCTTTTAAAAAAAAACAAAAACTTGAATATATCTTATTTAATTAATTAATTTATTTATTATTTATTTAACGTGTATGAGTTTTTTTGCCTGCATTGAGTGTAAGTACACCATGTAGATACAATGTCCATGGAGGCTAAAAGAGGGTGTCAGACTCCCTGGAACTGGAGTTATAGTTGTTAGCTGCCACATGGGTGCTAGGAATCTAGCCCAAGTCCTCTGGAAGAGCAGCTAGTGTGTTCTTAACCACTGAACCATCTTTCCAGCCCCCATTCTTCTTTTGAATAAATTTTTAAAAACATTTTATAACTAAAGGAAATGTAATATGTGCTACATGCCAAGTTTTAGCCAGCTTAGAGAGTCAATTTTAAATGCTCTATAATTGTTTTTTTTTTTTTTTTTTTTGAGACAGGGTTATCCTGTAGCCCCAGCTGGCCTGGAACTTAACCAGGCTAGCCTCCATCTCAGGGATCCACTTACCACCTGCCTCTGCCTCCCCAGTGCTGGGATTAAAGGCATGTGCTACCACAGCCAGCTCTGTAATTCTTATTTGAAATACTTCTAGTTATTATTTATCATATAGCTGAATAATTCAGTATCTTTTTTTTTGGTCTTTTTGAGATAGGGTCTCCCTGTAGTCACAGCTGGCCTGGATTAACTATGGAGACCAGACTGGGCCTTGAATTCACAGAGATCCACCTGCCTCTGCCTCCCAAGTGCTAGGATTAAAGGCGTGTGCCACCACACCAAAAAGAAACTAAATATAATCTTTACATTTGTTTTGTTTGTAATGCTTGGGATCAGATCCAGGGTTTATACAAGCTAGGCAAGTATTTTAACCCTGGGACATACCGACAGCCCCTATGATATTTGGTTTTTAGAATATCACCATAGTTTTGGTGTTTACAATACAGTCAAAAGTATATCTGTAAACCAGGCATGGTGGCCCATGCCTTTAATCCCAGCACTTAGGAGGCAGAGGCAGGCAGATTTCTGTGAGTTTGATGACAACCTGGTCTGCATAGTGAGTTCCAGTCCAGCTGGGGCTACAGGAAGACCCTGTCTCAAAAAGACAAAAAAAAATCTTAAAGAAAACATGTGATGGTGCATACTTACATCACATATTGCAAATACTTCTCAAGGATATAGGAGTATATTCCTTAACAATATATTCTTAATAGTCATGAGTCATCCCTGAAACAAGTTACACTGAGGGACCACTGTTCTGTAGCCATGACTTACAGTTCAGAGGAAGCTCCTGCAGTTGCTCCCTGTGTCCCTTTTCCAATCTGATCCTTCTTTTTACCCTTTTTTCTTCCTCTGTAGTAAGAACGTTCTCTCATTGGTAGCCATCTTTCTGGATCTGGGGTAACTTTGGGGTCATAATTTTTAGGCAGTTTTCCTGGAAAACAATAGATAAACGAGAGCATGTCTATAAGCAGTTTTTTTTTTCTTTAAATTTTCTTATTTTATGTGTATGAGTGTACTGCCTACATGTAGGTAAGTGCACCTATATGTTATGCAGTGCCTTTGGAGGTCAGAAGTAGGCATTGGATCCCCTGGAGCTGGAGTTATGGATAGTTGTTAGCTGCCATGTGGGTGTTGGGATTCAAACCTGAGACCTCTGCAAGAGCAGTCAGTGCTCTTAACCACTGAGAGACCTCCAGTCCTACCTGTAGGTAGTTTTAAGACAATCTGTTTAAACAATGTGTTCATGCCTTGAAATAAATAACACTACAATTGAAATTTGTCTGAAAAAAATTTTTTTGTTTCTTGTTTTTTCGGTCTCTCTATGTAGCCCCGGTTGGCCTTATACCTCTAATTCTCCTGACTCTACCTCCCAAGTGCTGGGATTACAGGCATGCACTATGCCCAGCTTTTATAGTTGTATTTGTATATCCTAGCAAGAGATTATGACTTATTTCTAAGCATCACACAAAATTCAAAGAACATAAGGGAAAATATTTACCAGATATAACTACAAAATTTAACCTTTTTTTTTTTTTTTTTTGGTCTTTTTGACCCTGTAGCCCTAGCTGTCCTGGAACTCACTGTGTAGACCAGGCTGGCCTTGAACTCACAGAGATCTGCCTGCCTCTGTCTCCCGAGTGCTGGGATGAAAGGCGTGTGCCACCATGCCTGGCCAAAATTTAAACTTTTTTAAAAAATATTTTTTCTTTATTATTTCACGTGTATGAGTGGATTGCCTGCATGTGTGAAGTGCACTCTTGTCACTTGTTGTGCAATGCCCTTCAAGATGGCATCAGATCCCCCCGAGCTGGAGTAACAGACAGATGTTAGCTGCCATGTAGGTGCTGGGACTCAAACTCGGGTCCTCTGCAAGAGCAGCCAGTACTCTTGACCACTGAGCCATCGCTCCAGCCCCACAAAATTTAAACTTTTTATTTGCTAAAATAATATATTTTGAAGAAGCAAATCACTTAGGATGCTGAAGTAGGAGGATCACAAATTTGAGGCCAGCTTATGCTACACAGTGAAACCCTGCTATGCACTAATTGGTATCCAAGCACTGGGACCAAAAAAAAAGAACCAATAAAGCTTCCAAAGATAATGGATTAAATATAAACATTAGCCTGTACAACATTTATAAACCCACTAAAACAGCAATCAACATGTTGATCTGATTTATACCTCCGATTCTCCCTAAACTCAGGTTCAGGTAGGTACAGCTTGTTCAAAAATAACCTCTGACTAGATGGAACCAAATGTGGCAATTCCCTCCACTCTTGTTAGGGATTACAAAACACAACCTGAGCCAATCAATGCATAACCTCCCCCAGGTTAACAGCTCAGGGCTGAACAATGACCTGTGTTAGCCCAATCAGATTAAGGCTGCTCAGTCCTGAAAGACCTTAACTATCCTACTAGATATAAACAAGACTGTGGCTCTGTTACTAAAATGCATCCTGATGGTAATGTTGTTTGTATGGACAGGAGAACCAAGATACACAATTACTACCAGTCAACCAATCAACTTTGATGTTAATCTTCCTTTCAACTGCTGATTTTATTAGTAGTAAATTTTCTTATGCTAGTCTGGAGGAATTTCTGATAAGCATCATTCTAAAAACTTTGCATGTGGGGCTGGAGAGATGGCCTAGCGTTTAAGAGTACAGGCTGCTCTTGCAGAAGACTGGGTTTGATTCCCAGCACCACATGGCAGCTAGCAACTGTCTGTTACTCCAGTTCTGGGGATCCAATGGCCTCTTCTGACCTCCACAGGCACTGCATGACAAAGGTGCACTTACATGCATGCAGACAATACACATATACATATAAAAATGAATCACAATAAATAAAGGGCTTTGCACGCAGCAGTACTTAACTGTGAAGCATACACCATCACATCCCATTTACAGCCACACAGTGAATAGTGCTATGACAGCAACCTGAATTTAGGCACTCAAACTCCAAAGAAGCACTCTTCAATGACGTTTTCTTCTGACCTCCATAGGTACAAGGCATACACACAGAACACAAACATACATAAAGGCAAAATATCATACACATAATAAAAAAATGTTAAAAAGAAAAATGGCAGAGGAGAGGATAGTATATCTATGTTCAGAGAATTTTATTTAGAGAGAAACTCAAATTCTTTTTTTTTGGGGGGCGGATCTTTTTGAGACAGGGTTTCCCTGTAGCCCCAGCTGGTCTGAACTCACTATGTAGACCAGGCTGGCCTTGAACTCATAGAGATCCTCCTGCCTCTGCCCCCCAAGTGCTGGGATGACAGGCGTGCCGAAACTCAAATTCTTATTGTGTAAAAAAGAATCTAAAGCCAGGCACGGTGTTTCCAGCAGTCAGGAGTAACGTAGGACCATCATGAATTTAAAGCTAGCCCGGGCTATGTAGTGAGACCTGGACTCAAATAACAACAACAGAATGTAAAGTTTGTTTCTTCCTTAAAGACTTAACAACAGAATGTAAAGTTTGTTTCTTCCTTAAAGACTTACCTTTCTTTTTTTTCTTCTTCTTTTTCAAATCTCCCTGTCTAAGAAGAAAAGGAGAGTCATCATCAAAGACAGCAAACTGGGCATTCTAACCTAAAGGTGTTTTTAAGACTTGGTACCTAAGCTCACTAAACTTAACTAGCTGGAATATGAATTCAATTCATACTGTAATTTATTCCCTTTAAAGAAATTAATCATTATTGTGTGTCTGTATGCATGATGTGCATACGGGTGCCCGTGCTGTCGCCCATGTGTGGATGTCAGAGAACCTTATGGATTGGGTTCTCTCCTTCCATCTCTATGTGGGTTCCGGAGATTAAAACTTAGGTCACTAGGCTTGCACAGTAGGCGCCTTTATCTGCTAAACCACCTTGCTTCCCTCAACCACCCACCTTTTTTGTTGAGGGTCTCTCTGTAGTAGCAGCTGGCTTAGAACTCACTATGTAGACCAGAGAGATCTGCCTGCCTCTGCCAGATTAAAGTCATGTGCCACCAGACCCAGCACCTCTTTTGTTTTTAAGATAGGATCTTGCTTTGTAGAACAGGCTAACCTAAAACTCCCAGTCCTCCTGCCTCAAGGTTCCTTAGTGTTGGGACCCCCAGGGTATTGTACGAAAAAAAATCTTGTGATGCAAATTATACTTAATGTAAAACTTTTTTCAATGTTATCTGTTCTTTGAAAATAGCTGTCATGTCTCAATTAACTAAATTATCTTTTAAGTAATAAGTAGTATGTGAGGTATCTAAGTGATATCAGAAGTCCCACAGGTAAGTTGTTTGTACAGACATGAAAATCTATCATGCCTTGGTAAGTTAACTTGTTTGGCAAGACTTTTGAAAATCAAGGAACTTTGACAGAGAACATGTACAGATAAGATACGTACAGCAAAGAACATCCTGGAAAGGGATGCAAACCAAGTTACACTGGTCATGACCTTAGGAGGAAAAGCCTGGACAGGATCATGGTAGGTGGAGGATTTTTTTTTTTTTTTTTTGAGACAGGGTCTCACTATGTAGCTTTGGCCAGCCTGGGAATTCTCTATGTAGATCAAGTTGGTCTCAAACTCGTGATCCACCTGCCTGTCTCCAGACTGCTGGGATTAAAGGCACCGTGCCTGGCCTTCCCCGACACCCAACATAAAACAGGTTTCATATATTCCATGTTGGCCTCAAACTTGCTATGTAGCCAAGGCTAACTTCAAACAGTCCTCCTGCCCCTGCCTCCCAAGTATTGATAATAGAGGCATGTGCCACCATTCCTAGCCTCCTAAATTCTGGGATTATCCATTGTGATATCATGCTTGGCTACTTTGTACTTTTTCCTTTTTTTTTTTGGTCTTTTTGAGACAGGGTCTCTCTGTAGCCCCAGCTGACCTGAACTCACTACCTAGACCACGCTGGTCTTGAACTCACAGGCTCTGCCTGCTGAGTGCTGGGACTACAGGCGTGTGCCACCATGCTTGGCTCTATACTTTTTAAAAAATAAAAAAAATTGTGTATGTGTATGCTTGGAATCAAACCCAATATAATAAACCTTTGTATATGAAAGTCGGAATAAAGAGCACTACTAATAACTAATAAAAACACTGTACTGAAAATTTAAGGCTCAAAAGTCAGTGTGCCAGGTGTGGTGGTACATACCTTTAACCCCAGCATGTGGGAGGTGAAGGTAGGCAGATCCCTGTGAGACCTAGGTGAGCTGAATGCTGGGGCTAGAGGAAGATCCTATCTTAAAAAAAAAAAAAAGGCAGTGTAGCGCCAGTGAGATGGATAAAACAACTGGCAACTGGCTAGGCGTGGTGGCCCACATCTTTTAGCCCAGCACTCAGGAAGCAGAGGCAGGCAAATCTCTGCCAGCCTGGTCTACATAGTGAGTTCCAGGTCACCTTTTTTTGTCAAAAAAGACAAAAACAACCCAGGCACACACAGATACACTTTTTTTTTTTTTTTTGGTCTTTTGAGACAGGGTCTCCCTGTAGCCCCAGCTGGCCTGGGACTCACTATGTAGACCAGGTAGGCCTTGAACTCAGAGATCTGCCTGCCTCTGCCTCCCAAGTGCTAGGACTACAGGGGTGCACCACCACGCCTGGCAAGGTACACTTTTTTTAATTCCTTGTGAAATTGTTGTTGTCTTGGGATAAGGTTTCATGCAGTCCAGGATGGCTAGGAATTGGCTCAGGCTGAGAATCACCTGGATTCTCTTCCCTCCACCTCTGGAGTGGTGGAATTCCAAGCCTGTGTGCCATTATTCCAGTTTATGTGATGGTGGGGATTGAATCAAAGGCCTCTTGCATGCTAGGCTGGCATTCTTAACAACTGAGCTACATCCACAGCCCCATCTTTTATATAACAGTAAATCAGCTTCAGCAGATGTTTTAGAAATATTTGAATTAGAAAAACATTACCCTTGCTCCTTTGGTTGATTATCTCCAGTAACTTTTCCACCTTTCTTCCGAACGTATGTAGCACCAGGAGAATTTTCAAGAGCCTCAACATCTACTTTTAGGGACATACTATCTGATGAGGGCAAGTGTTTACTAAGACTGGAATAGAACATGCGTTCAGGAACACAATATATACACATACATGTCTATCAACATATCTATGCCAACAGAAAGATAATGTCTTTTCCTAAAGGCCTTCACCAAAAACAAAACCAAAAATACTCTTCAATCTTCTATAGAATAGCAAAAGAGCAAGACATGCCAATTATATAGTATAGACTCTGAAAGGAAAGCTTAAATTAAAACTCTAATCATCTATCCTTTTTAAAAAATGCTTTATTATTTTTGTGTGTATGAATGTTTTGCCTGCATGTATGTTAAGTGCACTCATGTCATACAGTGCCTATGGAGGTCAAAAGGGTGCTGAATGCCTCTGGAACTGGAGTTAAAGATGGCTGTTAGCTGCCATGTGGTTCTGGGAATTGAATCCAGGTCCTCTGCAAGAGCAGCCAGTTCTCTTAATCTCTGAGCCATCTCTCCAGCCCCCTAGTCATCTATCCTTAACTCTGCCTTAGTTCAAGGTAACTCCCAAACAAACTATAGGCCAACTCATTATAGATGCTTTGACTTGGGGCATCTTAGCATTTACCACCCAACTCAGTTTTGAGAATACATCCTGATCAGTGTACCATTTATAACCCAAGATTTACCAACCAGGATAACTGAATTTTCTTTTCTTTTTTTTTTTCGCAACACAGTCTCTATAGCTCAGGCTGGTCTTGAACTCACAATATAACCAAGGATGACTTGATCCTACTGCATCTGCCTCTCAGGTGCTAGGTTTACAGGAGCATACTACTCTGCCCAGCTTCTGAATTCTTTTATCAATAGTAATTGTTTAGGATGGGCATGTGACCTGAACACTTCAGTCAGAGTTAAACATTTCAGAATTTATGCACAGCTATCAACAGATAATATTCTGCTGCTTTTTGTTTTTGCTTATTTACTGTGCTGTTGGTCTTGAACCTGGAGAAATACAGAGTTGTACCCACTGGCTTCAATTTTGCATATAGATCTAACCACTGCAAGGTTCATTTATCACTATTTTCCAATCATATTGATCAATACTTCTAAGTTTTTGCTTTTAGGAAAGAGAAGGGTTTGACTGTTAGTTGAAATTTGTAACAGAAAATGCCTGCTCAAAACACAGGTACTAGCAGAGTTCTAGTGTTCTGTGGAGAACTGTCAGTAATCAAAAGGATACACTTTTGCTTTCTCTGGATCCACAAGTGAGTAGGCAGAAATAAGCTGTGCTAGCGTGTGAATATCTTTTGGATTTTGCCTAAAAGAAATAAAAACATTACTGAACAGCTTAGAAAAAAATCAAGGAAATAAAAAGCAAGGAAAATAACTTGCTCATGTCAAATAACATTAATAAAATTTCTGGACCCCAACTTTTTGGAGCTTACTTCCAAAGCTGTTCTAGGTCACTAATTGCCTCCTTCTTCCGTCCATATTTGAGCTTGAAGTTTGCAGCTTCTCTTATCAAGGACAAATGAGCAGAGGATTTGGGCTATAGTTTCAATAAAACAAAACAACAAAAGCTTTAAGCTAAATATCTAAAGTCAATGAAATTGAAGTTGTATTTACTAGCCCTTTAAATGGACCCACACCTTAAGTTTTACTATGTGAAACAAGTGATCATCAGTTTATAAAGTCAGAACACAACCCACTTCTAGTTAGGTTGCCTATGAAAAGAAATGAGCTGGGAATGTAGTTCTGATAGAGCACTTCCCTAGCATGAGTTTCATTTCCAACTCCAGGAAAACAAAAAGCTCAACCAAACAAAAATATATTCCCCCAAATCATATCTTGAAGATATGCTACAGTTCTCAGACATTAATCTAACAAAATACTTGCCAGAACACTGTCACCATCCCATTGCTAGGAACAGTAACAGTGCAAATGACACTTCAGATATGTATATTAGGAAGTTAGATACTGTCTATGCAGAGATCCATACTGGAAAAAAGGAAGTCCTTCCTATTAGATGAGACATGATAAATGATTATTTCACATACTGCTGTTCTAATAACTAGCCATTATGTGCTCTGACTTCCTTACCAATCATGTACCACTGCATTATTTCCTGAATTATGAATGAGGGGCTGGAGAGATGCTCCAGAGTTAAGAGCATGCGCTGCTCTTACAGAGGACCCGGGTTCTGTTCCCAGCATACACATGGCAGCCAGCTAACAACCATCTAAATGCCCATGACTCCAATTTCAAGATATCTGATGCCTTCTTCTGGGCTCTGTGGGCACTGTACACATACAGTACACTTATATACATGCAGGCAAAACACTCATACACAAAAAAATTTAAAAATCAAAACAAAAAAACATTTTAATAAAAAAAATGAGCCAATTTTGATTTTGCAGCCATTCCTTATGTCTAACAATTTTATTTAGACCTGGTATACCTCAAAAGAAAAAAAAGGGATAGTTTAGGAGCTTTCCATTTTTAAAGTAGTGACTCAATATTTTAGTTCTCTGAAATTTTGAGTTCAGTAGTGTAGGTTTTTTTTTTTTAATTACTTATGGAAAAATATGCCCTTATACTATTTACTCCGTTTATTTACCTGATGGCTTTGGTACCAGTGGATAGCTTGTGTGAAGACCTCGATGGCACTGTCAATATCTTCCTCGTGGCTGTACATGGTCACTAATGCAGACACCTACCCAGCCAAAGGAGTAAATTAGTGACGAAAAGTTTCCTTTCATTCTCAGAACACAGTTTTTACAGGGTCTCACTACGTAATCCTGGCTGGCTGGAATTCACTATGTAGAACAGGCTGCCCTAGCTCTGCCTCCTGAGTGCTGGGACTAAAGGTGTGCACCTAGCTAGAACATAGTTTTTAAAAATGAAACACTGAAGAGTGAATAAAGATTACCAGGATCTCTGCAAGTAACTAACTCACTATAAATTTTATTCTTTTTAGAGAACATTATTCTTAGAAATGCACAGAAAAAAAGGGTCTCTTCTAAATATGAAGGCATTTATTTAGGAAATATGCCTTTCTTCTAAAGCAGTGCCAATGTAAGTTCAGGAAATGAAAGTGCTTTGACGTGTTTATACAAAATGGATTACTGGACATCCAAAGGTACAGTCAGGGAGGCACAGTGTGGCTGAACTCCTGTGGTGGGATGCATGTGGCCCAGCCGCAAAGAGCTTATTGAAGTGCTTTGGGGGCAGCACGGAGACCCATGTGGCTAGTGAGAGAGTGTGTGTATGCACCTGAAGGAGCAGTAGACGAAGACAGAAAAGAAACAGAAAAAAAGCTGGATCTTTAAGAAACCTTGGTAAAACTGATAGTCTGGCCACAGTGATCAGAGAGAAAAAGAGATGCCACAGATACCCAGTATCAGGAGAAAGGGTCTACAGTTATTGAGAGAATAAGGGAATACTATGCCTACCTTCTATGGCAGTAAATTCAAGTCCAGATGAAATGGATAAATTCCTTAAAAGGTGGAAAAAAGCCAGGCGTGGTGGTGCACGCCTTTGATCCCAGCACTTGAGAGGCAAAGACAGGTGGATCTCAGTGAGTTCAAGGCCAGCCTGGTCTACATAGTGAGTTCCAGGACAGCTGGGGCTACAGGGAGACCCTGTCTCAAAAAGACCAAAAAGAAAAAAGGTGAAAGAAGGCCAAATGTTTTCAGTCATCCACTGGGTACAATTTTAATATAAAATGACTATAGCACAAGCCTTAACATATGCATCAAGAGAAAGCACTCCAAGAATAATTTATTTAGTGCTACCTGTGAACAGCATTGTTAAAGGACACCAACATGAAGAAAACAGTTCTTGTTCATTAGATGCACATTCTGTCACCAAAGAATCAGTCTGCACTATGAAAAAGGCGCTTTCACAGCTATTATTACTGGTCTAAGCATGCAATTCTTTTGTTTTTGAGACAGGGTCTCCCAGTAGCCCCAGCGGACCTGGAACTCATTATGTGGACCAGAATGGCCTGGATCTTACTGAGATCTCCCTGCCTCTGCCTCCCTCGAGTGCTGGGATTAAAGGCATGTACATCCACACCCAGCTTTAGATATGTAATTCTTGAATATAGAACTAAATTCCAAATTCACTGGCCATTATTTCCACATTTGGTGTTTTGTTTTGTGCTGTGTTGTATTGTTTTGGTTTTTTACTATGTAGCCCTGGCTGGCCTTGAACTCACACAGATCAGCTTGCATCTTGCCTCCTGAGTCCTGGGGATTAAAGGAATGCTCCATCACTATGCCTGGCCAAAATTGTTTTAACCCAAAAGATTATGGTGACATGAAAAACAATCTAGTTAAAAAACTTCCCTACATCCTTTTTTTTTGCCTTTTTTTTTTTTTGTCTTTTTGAGACAGGGTCTCCCTGTAGCCCCAACTGTCCTGGAACTCACTATGTAGATCAGGCTGGCCTTGAACTCACAGAGATCTGCCTGCCTCTGCCTCCCAGGTACTGGGATTAAAGGCATGTGCCAACACGCCCAGCTCAAGTTGCCTTTTATGGATAATACATAAGGCCTAAATAGTACTCACATTTGACTGAATAATAAGCCATAGAATGAAATGCATCCCAGATAAGTAACTATTATTATTCTAACTGCTAATCCTAACTAATACATTAGAAAGTAAGTAGAAATGAAAGCGAAATAAAGAGCAGACACACAAATGGACTTGTCACGTTCATTGTCTTCTAATACTTCTGTTAGAAACTTACCATGCCTGGTTTATGCTTTAACTCCTCTATGCTTCTCAATATTAAACAGGCTTTGGAAATGTTACCTTAAGAGATTAAAAACAAATGAGCACCATATGAATAAAACATACTGCAGGGGAAAAAAAAAGTACAAGAAAACTTACTTCTTCCTATCCACTTTCCTTAGGAAAGAAATCATCAGCCTCATTTTGTAGCATCTCTGACTATATGAGCTTAGGGTCTTAGAGATAACATACTATTTCTTTTTTAAGGAAATGGACCTGTGAAGAAGTATCTTTTTTGTACCTTATATGGGTATGTGTGTGTGGTGCATGCATGTGAGTTACGTGAGTATGCATGCCCTTGGCACATGAGTGTGGAGGAGAGGGTGTCAAGTGTCTTTTCTACCTCATTGCCTTGGACAGGGTCTTTCACTTAATTGGAATCTTGACATTTTGGCTAGGATGGATGGTCAGTGAGCTTCCAGGACACAGTTGTCTCTACTCCTCAATGTTGGGGTTATAGGCATGCACAGCCATGCCTGTCTTTTAACATGGGTGCTGGAGATTCAAACTCAGCAATTCATGACAGCACAGTATGTGTTCTTACCCACTGAGTCATGTTCCCAGCCAGAAATAATATCTTTCTGTGAAGTCATAAACCAGTTAATAACAGAGCTGCTATCAGAACTCTTACAATTCTCAGCCTATTGAGTTCCATTTCTGCTTTTTCAAACTGTAACCTGAAGGAGTTGGAGGGGCCCTTCCTCAAAGGTCTTGAAATACAGTTATTACAGGCTTGAGTGCAATGGAAAACTGGTAGTGATAAAATTCTGATTTTCTGCTTTTAAAACAAAACAAACAAAAACCTCCCAATTCAGTATAAATAATTTTTTTGTTTTTTTGAGACAGGGTCTCACTATGTAGACCCGGCTAGCCTGGAACTCCTATATAAGACCAGGCTGGCCTTGAACTCACCCATCTTTGCCTCCCCATTGCTGGCACTAAAGGTATGCACCACCTGGTCACTATAAGTAATTTTTGCAAAACAAAACAAAATACACACACACACACACACCCGCCCCCAGCAAAGACAGACAGACAGACAAAGGGGGAAGGTAAGGGAATGTGAGAACACAGTAACAAGGAGATGAACAGTGTTCCTCAACCCTGTTTCCCTTACTGCTTCACTAACAAGCTTTTTTATACATGGTTTCCTAAACACAAATTACCCTTCCCGAATCCATGAAATTTTCATGTCAGCCTTTACAGCTAAGATTTTCTGGACCATTTATCACTAGTCAACTGAAGCTCTACACCAGAGCTGTCTGACAGAATTTTCTGTAGTGAAATGACCTATTATCTATGCTGCCCATAGCTACACCTAGCCACTAAGCTTCTGAAGAGAAGCTAGTACATGTTCTGGAATCTAAAACCTAATGGTTTCGAGACAGGTCTCACTTCACAGCCCAGGCTGGCTTCAAACTTACAACATTCCTGTCTCAGCCTCCAGAGACCTGGGATTATAGGTATGTGCCCCATGCCTAGCTGTGAATTTCATTTACTTCTGACTAGGTTTTTTTTTGGTCTTTTTGAGACAGGGTCTCCCTGTAGCCCCAGCTGTCCTGGAGCTCACTATGCAGACCACGTTGGCCTTGAACTCACAGAGGTCTGCCTGCCTATGCCTCCTAAGTGCTGGGACAAAAGGCGTGTGCCACCATGCCTGGAATAAATTCTGACTAGTTTAAACATCAGATAGCTACATGAAGATCGTGGCTAGCACATCACATAACCCAATTCTAGATAACTAGTCAAGCTAATGCAAGATTCTGACAAAAACAGAGATTTAGTTGACATATATGAACCAAAAATTCAGACACATGTACACCCAGAGTTTTCTGTTATGAATCAAACATCAGTTCTCACTAATTTCTGCATGTAGTCAAGTATAAAGGACAAAAGAACAGCCTAAACAACACTGGATAGAACAAAGCAAAGTAGCTCCTTATTTTAGGCAATCTTGTCAAGTATCAGACAAGATATTTATGTGACACCCAGGAGACAGAAGTGTGGTTTTTTGTTTTTTGTTTTTTTTTGAAACAAAGGAATCCTATGCTCATTTGAACCTTTAAGAGCCAGACCAAGATCATTCTAACTAAATACAGGAACAACCCAAGAAAAGGACCTGCTACTTCACTACTGAATGACCTGGAGATCACACAGTCTAGTTAAGTGATAATTATGTTTTACCATTATACAAAAAAACTTGAGAAAATCAAATATTAATACCTTGGGAAATTTTCAATTGTGCCATGGTAAGCTTAATTTCAGCTGCATTTTCTGGATGTTGGTCAGAAAATTCCTAAAATATTTTTAGTTGGGAGTTAAAAAAAACACATTTAATTTATACAACCACAGACATTACAATTATTTATCTCAGCTATTTAAGATTTTAAATTCAGCTTAAAGTATTAAACCTCTGGTTTCAGGTCAAAATCTTCAGAAGATATTGTATTCAACACCCACTTTGCCTATGCTCTAAAAGTAGGTACAATGATGTCAAGTTTCCTGAACGTCACTAAAAGAGAAACACTAAAGACTGTCACACAGACCAGTTGTATTTTTATTTAAAAAATTTTTTTGTTGTTTGTTTTTTGACATGGTCTCCCTAGTCCCAACCTGCCTGGAAGTGACCAAGCTGGCCTCAGTCTACTGAGCTCCACCAGCCTACTGAGGGCTGGGATTAAGGCATACACCACCATGCCTTTAATTTATTTTTATTTTCTGAGGAGACACTCAACCAGTATCTCCTTACTAGAAGTCTCTGCTAGGCAACTTTGTCTCCAATTTTATCCTGCCCATCTTTTCAACTAATCTATACTCATGAAATTTATGTAGTTTGTAGCCTGTATATAATAGCTGGTTTGAGACAATAAAGAGAAAATTGGTATCTCTCTTAACTCTCTGGGGAGGAGTAGAGCTCACTGAAGAATATCACCAAAACAGGGGTTAAGCATGGCTTGGTACTGCAACCCAAAAGCTCAAACTTTAATTCATGTTCAATGGATCTCCAAAAGGAAAAACATTCTTCAGTGTTCATACAAACATTTACATAACAAACATAAAAAGTTGTGACTTAAGAGTTAACTAAAGTGACCCTGGAATTTAGTGGTACATTACCCATTAGTCTGTATAGGTTGTTGTAATGCACAAGCTTATAGGTTATAGTGCAATGAAATGAAACAGTCTGCAACTGCCTGGTACCTCATTAAAATTCAAGTTTAAGGCCAGGTATGGTGTCGCATGCCTTTAGTCCCAGCACTCGGGAGGCAGAGGCAGGCGGATCTCTGTGAGTTTGAAGCCAGCCTGGTCTCCAGAGTGAATTCCGGACAGCTGGGGCTACTGGGAGACCCTGTCTCAAAAAGACCAAAAAAAAAAAAAAAAAAAAAATCAAGTTTAATGTCTTTACCTGAAGCAGCTCTATTGCTTTTGAATGCTGCTTTTCACGGCAGAGCTGGGCAGCTTGGATTAACACAGGCAGGAGATGCTCAGGACTTTGGGACTGCAAACTGGCAGATATTTTGCGGCATTGTTCTGCCTAAAAAATGCCCCCACCCCAAAAATAAGATGGTTAATAAAAATCATACATTAAGTAACAGAAAATAATAGAAAAATGGGGAAATCTATTTGAATTAAAAACAGCAGATGAAGAAATATGTAGGGTTAAGAGATATAGCATATAGTCTCATATTTTAGGAAGATTTTCATTTACTGAATTTAAGCTATGAGTTCTAAAAGTAATTAGGTAAAAGACAAGTTCTAAATGGCCATTTGAATATGTAAATTCCAGATAAATGAAATTTTTCTCTAAAAGCAACAAATCAGATATAAAACCACAGAATATTAGGGTTGAAGAGATGGCTTGCTGTTCTTGTAGAGGATCTATGTTCAGTTCCCAGGACCCACATGGCAGCTCACAACTGACTATAACTCCAGGTCCAAGGGATCTGATGCCCTCTTCAGGCCTCCACAAGCAGCACACACATGAGGTACACTTACATACATGCAAGCAATATACACATAAAATAAAAAATAATAAAGCCAGGTGTGGTGCACATGCCTTTAGTCCCAGCACTTGGGAGGCAGAGGCAGGCAGATCTCAGTGAATTCAAGGCCAGCCTATCTCCATAGTTGAGTTCCAAGACAGCTGGGGCTACAGGGAGACCCTGTCTCAAAAACAAAAAACAAAACAAAACAAAAAATAATAATCTTAAAAAAACCAAACCAAACCACAGGACATGTATTTCTTGATAAAAACATTAAGAAAACCCGACTCTGCTCTTAATAATATAAACATCACAGGTTCTCAATCTTGAACTAAACTCTTGTGCTCTATAGGAATATGAATTCAGAATTTAATTAGATATAGACAAGAACTACCTTCCTTAACATTTATAATGTGTAATTATGTACAACTGAAATGAAAGTTGGACCTCAGCTTTATAATCATGATTGCTGTCTTCAATGATTTTAACTCAGAAAGATTAGCAATAAAAGTAATGAGAGAGCTGGACATCTAGTACAACAGCAGAACATTTGCCTAGCTGGTGCAAAGCTGAGTTTGATTACCAGCACAGATGAAAAATAAAATAGGGGCTGAAGAGATGGCTCAACAGTTAATAGCACTTACTGTTCTTGCAGAGGACCCAGGTTCAATTCCCAGCACCCATGTGGCAGCTAACAATTATTCATAACCCCAGTTCCAGAGAATTCCATGCTGTCGTCTGACCTCCATGGACATTGCATGACACAGGTGTGCTTAAATACATGCAGGCAATACACTCATACACATAAAATAAAAATAAACAAAATACTAAAAAATAAAAAAAGCCAGGCATGGTGGCATACACCTTTAATCCCAGCACTTGGGAGGCAGACAGGTGGATTTCTGTGAGTTCAAGGCCAGTCTGGTCTACATAGTGAGTTCCAGGCCAGCTGGGGCTACAGGGAGACCCTGTCTCAAAAAGACCAAAAAAAACAAAAAAAAAACAAAAACAAAAACACAAAACAAACAAAAACAAAACAAAACAAAAATGAGAAAGCTACCTCATTTAAAGGTGTTAGTACTATTTTCTTCTCCTGAAAGCCACTAACTCTGTATCCTTAGAAAAAAGCAGGTGAATTACTTATTTAATAAAATCTATGACATGATATTTGAAAGAAGGAAATAGCACAAAGTATAAAAAAACATATTAAAAGGTCATACTAATATTCTTGCTTATATACCATATTATGAAAAGGTCAGCTAGGGAATCAGAGGCCTGTTACTTACCTGGTTTGTGTACATAGCAAGTAAAGCTTTGTTAAATTCTATGGCTTGCAGTTGTTTCTTGGAAAGCTTAAACTCTACTCCTTCTGCATTGGTTAATTTCACTTTCTTCTTGGAGTCAAAGACATTTTGGTCCTGACAAAAAAAAGGTTCATCCACCATTAGCAGAATCTCTAGTTTTAGCCTGTTTTTATGTTCCAAAACTTTATTCCTTTTTCATTCAGTTATTTTATATAAACCTAGTAAGAAAGTTTAGATATATCTACCTGGTTGGGATGCCTAAATAACAAGATGTGTACATATTTGCCCTGGGTTTTTGGTTCATGCATATAACAAAATCTCTGCAATTCAAATCTACTAGTATACATATTTATCTCATAATCTACTTATAGGTAGGAAAAGACTGAAGGGAATGTGAACAAGATTTTTGTTTTATCTTTCCTTTTTTATTAATATTTATTTATCTATCTATCTATCTATCTATCTATCTATCTATCTATCTATCTATCTATCTATCAATCAATCAATCAATCAGTCATCTATCTATCTGTCTTTCCTGAAACTGGTGTTAAGGATGGTTGTTAGCGGCCACGTGGGTACTGGGAATCAAACCCAGGTCCTCTGCCAAGAGCAGCCAGTGCTCTTAACTGCTGAGCCATCTCTCCAGTCCCTTGTTTTTATCTTTCTATTTCTAACTGCTTGTTTCCAGCCTCTTTTGTTATTGTTTTGTTTTTCTGTCAGGGTAACATTCTTAGCCCAGGCTGGCCTGGAACTTGAATCAATTCCCCTCCCTCAGCCTCCCAAGTGCTAGGATTACAGGTGTGGACCAGTATGTTTGGCTATTTTGCAATTTTTAGGTAATAAAACAGGGATGACCAAATCCTACAGCATATTAGGAGTACAAAGACATTAACTGCAATTTCTATAAATGATGCCGGCAATTTAGAATTTAGATAAAGTAACTCAGTCCTCTTTGAAATTGCTATGCAAGAAAATCCTTAACACAAATTTCTGAAATATTCATATCATTATGGAATCCATTTTTAGCAGAAAATACTCATGTAGCATATTTGCCATTTTTCTTCTCCTAAACTCCTTCTTCCTAACTAGGCAGAAACACAGAGATGTTCAAATATCTGAAACTTCTGTGCAGGGCAATAACCAGTGTAGTAAGCCCTCTCAAGGCCAGCTCTTCAAAGAAGGGAAAGGGATGGGGGCAAAAAATTTTTTTTAAAAATAATAGAAAAATCACACTTTTCTTTTTTGAGACAGGGTCTCATTATGCAGCCCTGGCTGGCCTGAAATTTGCTATGAAGATCAGGTTAGCCTGGAACTCACAGAGATCTGCCTGCCTCTGTATTCTGTGTGCTGGGACTGAAGGCCTCTACCACCATGCTAAGCTGAAAATCACACATACTCTGAGGACAATGAACTTCTTTGCAAATAAATACTTTGTAAACTAGCACATTCACTTGCAAGGTTATACAACCATGTTTTTTAATTTTAGACTCAGGGCCTTACATAGCTCCAGATGGCTTTGAACTAGATATGTACTTAAGGATGACCTTGAACTCTCTATCTTCTGCCTCCATTGTTCAATACTCAGATTACAGGTGTAAGCCACCATTCCCCACATAGTTATGCTTTAAAATTTTATGTGTCTGTTTTGCCTGCATGTACATGTACATACAATAGCCACAGAAGCCAGGAGAGGGTATCAGATCCCCTGGAACTGAACCTGGGCCTTCTGCAAGAGCTGAGCCATCTCTCCAGGCCCCAAAACTATGCTTTTAAATCAAGTTTTCCATTAATTTAAAAGCCAAGAAAAAATTCACGATAAATCCTACTTTTTCTGAGTGTGAACCTTCAGACCAATTTGAAGCCAGGTGCAGTGGTTTGCATGTATAGCAACAGATAGATGGGAGCGGTCAGAAGGCTCTCTGGAGCCCAGGAGCTCACAGCCAGCCTGGTGACCCTAATATAAAGAGAAATTTCCCAGCTGGTTCTCACATGTTACTGTTTTTATACTTCAGTTCTTCATGCATGTCAATGACAGACTTTCCTTAAACATTGTCATGGCACTTACTTTTTCATTAAAAACTTTATTTTCTAGGCCTTCCCCATATGCTATATCATTTAACCTTTTAAATTCTTTTTTATGCTACCTACTGTCTATGTATACTCTTGTTCTTCCTGCCCCAAATTATACATATTAAATAATATTTCTTTTCTTTCTTTCTTCCTCCCCCGCCCCTCACTTTGTAGCCCTGGCTGGCCTGAAACTTGCTATGTAGACCGTGATCTTAGAGATCTGCCTGCCTCTGCCTCATGAGTTTGGGTATCAAAGGCAAGTACCACCAAGCATAGCCTATAAATGATAAATATTTCTTCATTTGTATACATGCTTATGCTGGTGCTTAACCTTTAAATTTTCCTCAATGGTCATCTTAAATTTGCCAATTCAGAGACCTTTCACCAAATATAACAGTTATAAAGCATGAAAACAAGTTTAATTATTTTCAGTGTCAGAATGAGGCATGTAGTGTCTTTCTCCCCAAGGCAGGGTCTCAACTATATAGTCCAAGCTGGCCTTGAACTCCCCATTCTCCTGCCTTAACCTACTGAACACTAGGATTACAGACATGCACAACTAGGTCTGACTTTTCAGGATGGAATTTTTATTTATTTATTTTTTTTGTCTTTCTGAGACAGGGTCTCCCTGTAGCCCCAGCTGGCCTGGACTCAGTATGTAGAACAGACTGGCCCTGAACTCACAGAGATCCGCATGCCTCTGCCTCCCAAGTGCTAGGACTAAAAGCATGTACCATCACACCCAGCTTAGGATGAGATTTTTTGAAAAAAGTATTTTATTGGGGCTGGAGAGATGGCTCAGTGGTTAAGAGCACTGACCGTTCTTGCAGAGGACCCGGGTTCAATTCCTAGCACCCACATGGCAGCTACAAACTGTCCTTAACTCCAGTTCCAGGGGAATCTGAAGCCTTCTTCTGACCTCTGTGGCATTACACGAGATGGGTACACTCACATACATGCAGGCAATATACTCATACACAAAATAAAGATAATAAATAAAATATTTAGCCAGGTGTGGTGGTGCATGCCTTTAATCCCAGCACTCAGGAGGCAGAGGCAGGTGGATCTCTGAGTTCAAGGCCAGCCTGGTCTACATAGTGAGTTCCAGGACAACTGGGGCTACAGGGAGACTGTGTCTCAAGAAGACCAAAATAAATAAATAAATAAATAAATAAATATTATTATTTTATGTGTAGGAGTGTATTGCCTGCAAGTAAGTTGCACCTGTGTCATGCAGTGCCCAAGGAGGTCAAAAGAGAGCATTGGATCCCCTGGAACTAGAGTTACAAACAGTTGTTAGCTGCCATGTGAGTGCTGGGAATAGAACCTGGGTCCTCTGCAAGAGCAGTCAGTGCTCTTAACCACTGAGCCATCTCTCCAGCCCCTCAGGATGGGATTTTAAACTATAATGATTAAGAATATGTTTTTATTACTATATCCAGTGTTTGAACAAAAAGTCAAAAATAACTATGTAAGCTGAAGAAAGTTCATTGTATAAATTAGATTTAGGTGTAGATGTATATTTAGTGTTTCACACATTCTCTTCCCCACAATTACTTATGTCTAATAAAAAAGATTGACAAACATTTCAAAATTATGTATTTCTACTAAGATTCAAATGATAGCATCAATGTTTGGAAACCTAAACCATGTCAATGACTACCATTTTTAATGCCACTAACCCACATCTGGGGACTCTCAAAATGATTCTTTTGGTGTCCTACAAACTGAAGATAAGGGCTATGACCTAAATGATTACTGTGAAAAGGAATTAAGATTGTATTGAAAAGTCACATGGCATAGCATGAGAAATTAAATGCAAGTTACTTCTCTTATTTTCTATTGACTTGGATTTCAAATCTCAGCTTGAAATGTTTTTCCATCAAAATAATGTTCCAAATGGTGAGTAATCTGATTAACACAGTACTCTAAGTGCCTACAGCCACACTTGTAATGTTTTACTGAGAGAAGGTTAATAAACGACAGCGCCTGCCATACCTTGTCCACCTACCTGTCCCCACACCCCCTCCAGAAATTATATAGAAAACTTGCACATTCAGACTCAGAAGATGAAGAATGCAAAACATACACATACTTAAAAGTTAAAAGTTGAAGAATGTATATTTTTAACAAATGGAGATTCCTCATTATTACCATAAACTAGAAGGGGAATATTTTATTAAAGTCCAGAGCCTTCACCTACAAAAAAGCTTTACTACTTGAATGAACATGGGAAAAATACCAATATCATGACTGAAAAATAACTCTCCATTGTGATTTTGTTAGCACCTGGTAATCTTTCTGTCATGGAAGAAGAACACACCCTAGAATAAAGCTGGGGTAATCCGTTCTCAGCATAAAATACACATCTAGAAAAGCCAAGGATATTTCATACCTTATTAATGGTAATGATGTTATTTGCAATTACAGCTAGCAATGCCACATCTGTTGGCCTGTTAACAACAAGAAGCAGTTAATACCGAACAAACCTTTAAAGAACAACAAATAAAACTCATTCCCTAAAAAGTCACTTCATTTTTAACAACTCACTTTAGTTTTATTATCTGATTGTATAGCTGCAGAGCCTCCTCTGTACGACCCTGAAGCTGCAGGATATAGGCCATTTGACCATGAATGATGGCCAGTTCTGCCTGTGGGTCTTCCTCAGTCCCATCCTAAGCAAAAGAAGAAATACTGTTTGTTTTTCTGTAAAAATTTTCCAAACTGATCCACATATTTATACCAAGTAATTGAAATGTGAAATATATACAATCCTCAAGGAGATATGTAACTTCAAGAATGTTACGTGAGAATCAATTCTCTGAAATTCAGAATTGCCACTAATAGCTGTCTAAGGGAAAATGGCAAAAAAGATCTTGAAAGAACATGGTCACAAACTCAGAAATACAATGCATCAATCATTACTATATTATAAAAAGGTGACATAGATGTTGTTTATAATAGCCCTAAATTCTTTAAAACGTACACATTTTTAAAATGCTTCTCTAACTCCCCCACACAAAGTTCTCTGTATATTCCTTATTTAAGGCATGTGGCAGCTGGGCCTGTTGGCACAAGCCTGTAATCCTAGCTACTGGAGAGGCTAAAGCAGGGAGCTCAGAGTTCCAAGGCTGCCTGGGCTACAGAGCAAACTCAAATTCAGCACAGGAAACTTTGTGAGACCCTGTCTCAAAATATAATAATAATAATGATGATGTAAAAAGCAGTAGCTCAGTGATAGACTGCTTTTGAGCATGATGAAGGTCCTAGATTCAATCCCCAACACATCAAAAATAAAAAAAATAAATAAAAAATAGGTAGCTTTCTTAACTGATATCCCAGATTAACTAGGATTATTCCCTAATCCTTCCAGAAAGGTTGGCTAATGAACATGTACAATGAATATTCAAGTCTAGGGGGTTATATTCTTGCTAAGTATGTTTGTGCACATGTTCATGTGCATGTGGGGACACATGTGGCAGTCAGAGGACAACCTTGGATGTTGTTTCTCACATGCCATCTACCTTCTTTTGGAGATAGGGTCTCTCACTTGCCTGGAACTTGATTAGGTTAGACTGCCTGGCCAGTAAGGCCCTGGCATCCATCTCCACTGACCTGTCTCGGCCTCCCGAGGGCTGGGATTGCAAGTATAAGCCACCATCCCTGCCTGCCTCATAGCACCATGTTTGCACAACAAGCCCTTACTGACAGAACTATTTCCCTGTATCCTCTTTTACCAATCCAGCACTATAACCTGAGTGTACTGACTGGGTAGGTGTCAGATGTTTATTCCCAAATACATCATTTCATTTGTGTTTGACAGTGATAAAACTTCTAGTGAAAGAATAACCATAAGTGTGAAAAGTTGCTTGTGTCTCCATATAAATAAACCTTTCAGAATTCTCAGGAAGATTTCTGAAGTTAAGTTCCTAAAGAAGGTAACTGTCTCATTAGACACAAACTAAATTACATGGTAGAGTCCATCACACAAAGCTGAATACTGTAATGAAACCTCCCACTAATTATTGATCAAAACCATAAAATTTGATTTTAATAGAATACTTACAGAATCTTCAGAAAATGAACGGCGGCAAAGATCTATAGGAGAAAAATTGTTTTAGAGTTAAATTGCTGGGCAGGTCCCAATCCTTTCACCATTCCAAAGAGAAAAACTAAATTTCTGAGATTTCAAGCAATCCACCAACTGAGGTACACTCCTAGGCCTAGCTGGTGTTAAATGTAAATCACAGCTGCATTTTAAAGCTGGAGGGGCTGGGCACGGTGGCGCATGCCATTGGTTCCCACCACTCAGGAGGCAGAGGCAGGGGGAATCTCTGTGAGTTCAAGGCCAGCCTGGTCTACATAATGAGTTCTAGACCAGCTGGAGCTACAGGAACACCCTGTCTCTAGATATTATTTTAAAGTCTCCCTTCTCGGGGGCCTGGAGAGATGGCTCAGCGGTTAAGAACACTGGTTGTTCTTGCAGAAGACCCAGGTTCGAATCCCAGCACCCACATGGCAGCTAAAAATTGTCCGTATCTCCAGTCTTAGGGGAAGGGGATCCGACAGCCTCGTCTGACCTCCGTGGGCATTGCACGACACACGGGTGCACTTACCTACATGCAGGCAATACATGCATGCACATAAAATAAAAAAATTTTTTTTTTGGTTTTTTTGAGACAGGGTCTCCCTGTAGCCCCAGCTGGCCTTGGAACCCACTATGTAGACCAGGCTGGCCTTGAACTCACAGAGATCCGCCTGCCTCTGCCTCCTGAGTGCTAGGATTAAAGGCATGTGCCACCACACCCAGCTAAATAAAATTTTTTTAAAAAGTTAAAAAGAAGTCTCCCTTCTCTCAATAACTGTAGACGCATTTACATTATAATAAATAAAAGTGATGCTATTATTTTTTACATCATTGGTTTTAAGAACTGCATGGAAAACAATTTGTGATTACAATAAAACACAGCCAATCTTTTTTCGAAATGTATGCATATGTATGTTTTCATATGTATGCATATGCACCTGTGTATGCATGTCAAGCCCAGAAGATAGCTTCAGGTACCATTTTCAAGAATGCTGGACTTGGTCTCATGAATTATGCTAGAATGGCTGGTCAGAGAGCTCCAAGGATCCTTTTATCTCTGCCTCCAAGGTACTAAGAGTACAAACACACCCTACCACAGCTTTTGATGAGAGCACTGGGATTGAATGCAGGTCTACAAGCTTGTAAAACAAGCACTTTACCTACTGGATTATCTCCACAGCTTCCATAGCCAATCTTTAAACAGCACAGAAGCTCATGTTTTTTGTTCTCACACTTACCCCTTTAATCAACCCCTTCATACAGAAATATGTGACTTTACCTCTTTAAAATTCTAGAAATAGAATTATTGAATCAGAGAATGGGAAACTTCTCAAATCTACACATTACCCAACTTTTCTCTCTAGTTTTCCTATTTTGGTGCTATGAATTGAACCCATTGCCTTGAATATACAAACTATACCCTTAGTAGCCTATTTTTAAACTAAAAGCTTCAAAGCATGTAAATATTTTCTGTAGAAACATATTAAATGGAGTTAAAATGTGGCTGAATGGTACTATAGTTTATATGTGTATATGTACACACATAGTGGCCTAACATATTACTACTTATTTGAGTAGAAATAGAATAAAACAATAACTAATATTTATGGAATGATGCATCATGGCACATGTGTAGAGGTCAGAGGACAACCTGTGGGAATTGGTTCTCTCCTTCTGCCATGTGGCTTCCAAGAACTGAACTCAGGTCATCAGGCTTGGCAGCAAGAGCCATCTCACCGCTGCAAGAATGATTTTCCTATATATTATTCTGTCCACTTAATTTACATTTAACACTTAGAATAACCTGCTCAAAGGCTCACCCTTCAAAATTTAAACTTTAGAGACTACCTTAGTGATTAAACAGAAATAAGACATGACCAAAAAGAAACAGGCTAGATCTTCTAAAGATTCCCACTACTCTAGTAGTTCCTGCATAACATTTTTATAAACATCAAATGCAAATGTTAGAGATACTCTAAAGTTACATAACTCCATACTGTATTTGCAGAAAACTTTAAAAACGTCCAACCTTCAGCTTTTTGTAGGATTTTCATTGCTTGCTGCAGCTGGCCTTGTCCTATCAGCGCACATGCAGCATTGTAGCACAGCTCATGTGTGCCTTCTTGGAGACCCAAGTTCTCCTGTCACAGAGGAAAATACCAGTTAAACGCAGAGCATGAGTATCACTTCACAGGTGTGTACTGGACACGAGGATACTCACTGGAACAACTTTTTCCCAATTGCTTTGAGCCGCAACAACCGCTGAAAGGTTTGTTTTCCTCTCTTCATCATAATCATCTTGGGAGTTTCGGACAAGATCTCTATACACAGCTAAGCACTCATCATAGCGTTCCAAACGGTATAGCTGAAGGCCAAAGCAAGAAAACTCAGAGAAGACTAATAACAGCCTGTTTCTTAGACCATACTAATGCTTTTTCGGAATCACAAAGCTAGGAACCTAGGAACACAATATGAACAAGCCAAATGTTTATGTTTTTTAAAAGGCTATAGTATTTATTATTTTTCTTTTATGTCTATGTGTGTATTGCCTGCATGTATGTAAAGTACACTCATGTTGTGGAATCCCCGAGGAGAGAAGGCATTGGATCCCCTGAACAGGCATTATAGACAGTTGTTAGCTGCCATGTGGGTGCTGGGATTCAAACCCGAGTTTTCTGTAAGAACAGCCAGTGCTCTTAACCACTGAGCCATCTCTCCAGCCCCGTTTATCTTTTATAACTTAAAATATTTTTATTGTTTTGCTTACATGTAAGTGCACTCCATGTGTGCAGTGCCCAGAGACGCCAGAAGAGGGCACTGAATCCCCTGGAACTGGAGTTAAGGATGGTTGTTAGTTACCATACGGGTGCTGAGAACTTAACTTGGGTTGTCTGCAAGAGCAATCAGGGTTCTTAACCACTGAGTCATCTTTCTAGTTCCCATGTATAACTTTTAAACTAGCTTTATTTGTTAATACTTTCAAAAAAGTTACTTGTAATCTTTATTATAGTACATATTTGTAGAAATGATTCAATTTAAAAAAGCAACGTTCTTTCTTATAGTTAAATGCCTAAAGGACTGTGACAGAAAATCATTTAATGGAAATCTGTGGTGTTATCTGAATCTGAATTACGATGAAAAAAATTTTCCACACAAAATGATTGCTAAGTCCCAGTAAACACGAATAAAATGAAATGTTAATGATGTAGTTTCCTAGGCATTCACTATATAGAATCCTCATTTTCTGTTTCTTAGACACCAGCTATTATATATAATGAGCAGTGCCAAGTACCTACAACACTAAGTCCTGCTGATTTCCTTCCAGTTGTTCTTAAAGGACAGTAATAGCTGCTATTCTAGATCCATCAGTGTCCTAAGTATGACAGAAAAGGTGCCCTTCATCAACTCCTGGAATTAGCCTATAACTATCCAGTTTATATATTTCTGTTTTCATTATTAATACACTTTCAAATCAGGTTTAATTTTATGTTACAAATCCTTTAAGAATAAAATACTTTCACAGAGTTTATTTTTACAGGGCAGATAAAGCCACTCAAATTCTTATCCACCATGACTTTCTTTAAGCTTAGAATACATACTACTTAAACACTGGAAGTATTATTTCAAATATGTGTATAAGCTCACGGGCCTTTACATTTGCAACTTAAGTAGTCCAAAGTTCATACAATAGTTCATTTTAATTTTCCAATTATCCTGAAGGAGTCTTTGTTCATAGACTACTATATAGACAACTGTTCCAATGAAGATCAAGAAGAGGGAATATGTCCAAACCTCAGGAACTGGTTTGGTGACCAGTTTTATGGAGCATCAGGATGAGTGGATTTCCTCATCCCTGCTCCATATTAAGAGGCAGAGCCATGCTCACTCAGGATGATTGACAACAGGTATTTTAAAGCAGTAATTACCACTTGTCCATAAAGCTCCTTTAGTTTGTCTGTTTGCTGGTTGGCACTTTCTATTGTCTTCAAGGCATTCTCAATTCTGTTCAGCCTGTACTCGCAATATGCTTTCTCGAAGGAGAGAGCGTTACTGAAGGAAAAAAAACAGCTTCTGATCATTATCTAACAACAGAGAATACTCACTATCTGCCAGATACTGCTCTAAGTAATTGATACATGTTAATCTCTTTATCCTCACAACAAAGGTTAGTGACTTATCCAAAAATCATACAGGCTTTCAAAGTGGCACAGATGACTACATTCATTTTCTTACCCCTTTTCTTTGCACGGATATTAAGAGAGCTATTAACATTTTGAAATAAGTATTTAAGAAGGCAATCATGAACTACCTAAACAAACAATTGCTTTAGATACAAAGATAATACAAACAAGCTCAGTATAGTGGTGTACACTTTAGTCCCTGATCTTGGGAGGAAGAGGCAAGTGGATCTCTATGAGTTCCAATGTCAGCCAGCGCTACCTTGTGAGACCCTGACTCAGGAAGGAAAAAAAAAAAAAGAGACAATATAAGCACTAAAATGGGCTACTTAAGAAGTTTCTTGGGGTTGGTAGAATGCTTGTCTAGCCTAAACAAATCCCTGGACTTTATCCCTAGCACTCCATAAACTAGATGTGATAGTGTATGCCTGTAATCCTACCCAGCACTTGGGAGGTGTAGGCAAGAGGAATAGCAGTTCAAGCTCATCCTCAGCTACCTAGGAGTTTGAGGCCAGTCTGCAATACACAACTTGTTTTTTGTTTTTTTTTAAAAAGCGAGCAAGTGAGAAAGCAAAAATCCCTTAAATCTACCTAATACCTAATAAAATAAGCCATATGATCTTTCTTCTAGCTTGTTCAAGAAGCAAATGATTAGCAAAGAAACAATTAGAGATAAATACTAATTCATAATCAAACAACTGATAGAGATGCAATGAAAGTACCATTTAAATATCCAGGTTTAAAGTTCACCTATATTGATGTGATACCTAAAACTCATTCTGAAGTTTTAACCATTTCCCCCAGCTCTAGGAAAAACATTTATGAAACCAAATGGCAAACTGGGTGTGGTAGCTTATGACTGCAATCCAAGCAGTGAGGCGGCAGGGGGATCTTAACTTGAGGATTTACTGGGCTTTCCAGTAAGACATTATCTCAAAATACTGCTCCTAAAACAAAAATATTTTTAATTTACTTACCTAACAAAGTTCCAGAAAATTCACTTATCTCACAAAATAGTCAAAAACTCAAAATACTGAATTTTAGCATAAACATTTAATAGCAGAAAGCAGCATTTTTCCCTTTTTATTTTATTGACTTAGTGTGTGTAGGTACATATGTGTACATGTTTGTGTGTGAACAAGTGTATATGCAGACTCATGTGCAAGGGTGTGTAGGTATGTGTGAAGGCCAGAGGATAACCTTGGAAGTCATATTTCAGGGGCTATCCATCTTTTGCTTATTTTATTTGATTCTTTGAGGTAGTGAGGCTGCCTGGCCAGCAAGCCCCAAATATCTGGCTGTCTCCACCTTCCCAGCACCGAAAATACAAGTGTCCCATGGAACTCAATTTTTTAAAAGGGGGTTCCAAGGGACTGAACTCAGGTACTTAAGCTCTTTACTAAGCTATCTCCTTGGCACTCTTTCTTTTCTTGAGACAAGGTCTTGCTCTGTAGCCCAGGGTAGACTGGAATTCACTATGAAACCCAAGATGACCTTGAACTCATGGATCCTTCTGCTTCAGCTTCCTGAGTGCTGGGCCATCTCTCCAGCCCCAACACCAAGACCAAGTGTTATTTCCATTGCTTCAACATTAATTGTTCCTCCTTACTCCACAGTGACTATTTTTATTCACTGTTTTTCCTTGTGGTATTTTTGTAAATATAAATTCTTATATATTTCTCTTGCAAAATGAACTACAATATATACTGTTCTGCACTTTATAGAAAGAATTCCACCAAAGAATAAATATGGTGCAAACTTAATTTTGATACAATATTTCTTGATGCTTAGGTATAACTATAATGATAAATCAAAGTAATTCAGAAAGTATATTCACATCGTGAAATGATAAATGACATAAAAATTATCAACAATTAAAAACATACAAATAACAAACCCATTATATAGTCTAAAGACTGTTAAAGAATTTTGAAAGATCTTGACCTAAATAATTAATGGAGCTAGGTTCAGAGGTCAGGCTAAGACGGTCACATCACCTTAAAGACCTCTACCAATTTAGATACTTATATGCTCTAAGTGTATACATGCCAATTTGAAATGTGATGGTTTTGTCCCTATATCCTCCCTCCATGGACTCTTATTATTTTTTTTTCCCCTACTGGAAATAGGGTCTCAGTATATAGTTTGATGGCCTCAAACTAAGGATTCTCCTGCCTCAGCCTCATGAGTACCAGGATGACAAACTAAATGACCACACCTGGCTTCTGTTAACATTTACTTTCTATGTCTCTCTGATTTACTTTCTTCTTAGTAGTTCAAAAGAAAAATGGCTATGCATGGTGGCACATGCCCATAATCCCATCACTCTTAAGTCTGAAACAGAAGGACTGCAAGTTTGAAGTCAACTTGGGGTTACACAGTGAGTTCCAGTGTAGAATTTACAGATCCTGTCTCAGAAAAAAACAAAACCAGAACGGGAATGAAAAACCAGGAAAACAAGTTTTAAAATAAAAAGTTACTACTGCTTCTAATTTCATAAAGACTGACAAGCAAAAGAAAAACAGAAGAAAGAGCCCGGCCTGGTGACACATACCTTTAATCCCAGCACTTGGGAGGCAGAGGCAGGTGGATCTCTGTGAGTTTGAGGCCAGCCTGGTCTACACAGCAAGTTCCAGGCCATCCAGTGCTACATTATGAGACCCTGTTTCAATCCCCACCCTAAAAAAGAAGAAAAATAGAAGGAAAAGTAATTAAAAGCAAATGAATAGCAGAGGGGCAGGCAGATCTCTGTGAGCTCAAAAGTAAATGAATAGTGGAGGAAAAAACCACAGGAGAGGTTGTAACTATCAAAAAAAATCTTTCCAATAACCATACAACTCACTGAATCACTTACTTGGCTAACACTTTGGTATGAGTATTGATGACATTCAAGGCTTCCTTGAAACCTCCGTTCTGGATAAGGCATACCACTTTACAGTGCAGGGCAGTTATATCATCCTTGTTGAGCTGTAATACTGGAGAACAATTTTAGGAAAAGACATTTAAAATCCACCTATTTTCCACATAGTTACTAAGTTTTCTTACTGCTGCCTCGGGAAGCTACATTTCCAATTTCACTGCTGTAGAATGTTCAAATAGTAAAACAGCAAGGGATCTTCATTTTTAATAAGTGACAATAAGGAGTTTATATTTGATTTTTCAGTGAGATAGACTCCTAGGTACTGAGAGTGAACCAAGAAAGAAGCTAATTCCTCAGCTCTTTCCCCTTGGAACACATGCACTACTTACATATTTCTTTACTCACAGGGAAAGAAAGAAGCTCATGTAGAATTGGGAAATAAATGACTACTTTTTTAAAATACGGTCTTACTGTGTAGCCCAAGCTGGCCTCAAACTCATGATCTTGATGTCTCAACTTCCCAAGTGCTGGATCATACGTGTGAACCACCATAAGCGGCTATGGAGGCAAAAAGTAGTGTAACTTTGCCAGTAGTTGGTTTGAGATCTTGAAGAATTCATTTAACAGTCAAATCTGTTTTCTAGCCTACTAAAGTAGCATGAAAGTATAACTGTACAAGGTTATTTATCAAAAGCAAGAAACGTGGGGCTGGAGAGTGGCGCAGCGGTTAAGAGCACTGGCTGCTCTTGTAGAAAACCTGGGTTCGAATTCTAGCACCCACATGACCGGTAACAACCATCTATAACTCTACTTCCAGGGGACTTGACGTTCTCTTCTGGCCTCTGTGGGATTGCATGACATGTGCATTTACACACATGCAGGGAAAACACTCATACACATAAAATTAAGGTTAATTAAGAAAAAAAATGAGAATGTTTTGAAAAAAATCTTACAAAGTACAATGTACGGCTGGGACTACAGCTCAGTGGTACAGTGCCTGCCTACCACATTCAATTTCTAGCAAAAAATGTGGTACAAACACAATTTACCTTGTGGCAATGATCAAAGAAATATTCCAAGTTTCCCTTTCACCTAAGATGATCAAAGGAAGCACAAATAACAACTCAGGTGGCCAAAGTTCAGGTTAGCAGCAGTTCAGGGTCAGAATGAGCAGGATCATAGTTGCCCTTGCTCCTATCAACTACAGGAGTCCAAATCTCAGTCTGAAAATCAAAGAAATTTCTAGAAATTAACAAAAGAATTTCTGCAAAATATCATACTGCTACTAAGTGTACGGTATTGGTTGGATGCCTAATTAATGGCTAATGTTAATTCAAGTAAATTTGGGAATCAAACAATCCTAATGAGAGAGTATTTTCTCCTTGTCTAAATTTATCACAAGTACACCATGGCCACCATCACTACCTTCACAGAAACTTGGGAGTTGAAAATCATTTACATAGCTGTGAGTGTCACTGATGAACCCTTTCTGTTACGAGCGTTCTGCAGAGCTGAACTGTTCAGCAGTTACATTACCAAACTTAACATACACAGGTCCATCTACTGTAGAGAATAGAGCAGAGTCATACTAGTCATGTGGTAAAGTATAACATGGGTATGGAACCTCAGGCTGAAGGCAGTGAATTTTGAAATTATCACTTAAAGGACAAAAATATCCAGGTTAAAGTTTCCTTCCGATATTGTTTTGAATGTCAGAGCTTACACCGGACACACACCCGGACACACACACACACACGTTCTCTGGTTAAACATCACCAAGGAGACTCTATATGTGGGAATGATTGGCAGGCCTTACACACACACACACACACACACACACACACACACACACACACA